CGGTATGTAATGATCATCATGAAGTGACAACAAAGGAAGAAGTGGAAAAAGTTGCGGTATGTAATGATCATCATGAAGTGATAACAAAGGAAGAAGTCGAAAAGTTGCGGTATGTAAGGATCATCATGAACTGATAACAAAGAAAAAAGTGGAAAAGTGGCAGTATGTAATGAGCGTCATGAAGTTACAACATAAGAAAAAGTGGGAAGGTTGTGGTATGTAATGATCATCACGAAGTTATAACAAAGGAGGAAGTGAAAAAGTTGGGGTATGTTATGATCATCATAAAGTTATAACAAAGGAAGAAGTGGAAAAGTAGCGGTATGTAATGATCATCATGAAGGTATAACAAAGGAAGAAGTGGCAAAGTTGCGGTATGTAATGATCATCATGAAGTTATAACAAAGGAGGAGAGGGAAAAGTTGCGGTATGTAATGATTATCATGAAGTTATAACAAAGGAAGAAGTGGAAAAGTTGCGGTATGTAATGATCATCATGAAGTTATAACAAAGGAGGAAGTGAAAAAGTTGCGGACTGTAATGATGATCATTAAGTTATAACCTAGGGGGAAGTGGAAAAGTTGCAATATGTAATGATCATCATGAAGTTATAACATAGGAGGAAGTGGAAAAGTTGCGGTATGTAATGATCATCATGAAGTTATAACAAAGGAAGAAGTGAAAAAGTTGCGGTATGTAATGATCATCATCAAGTTATAACAAAGGAGGAAAGGGAAAAGTTGCGGTATGTAATGATGATCATGAAGTTACAACATAAGAGGAACTGGAAAAGTTGGGGTACGTAATGATTATCATGAAGTTATAATAATAATAATCATCATCTTTATTGAGGAAACTTTTTCATAAAAGATATGGTTTTCAAAAAGGACCTCAAAACTAGATATATATTATAAAAACAAAAAAAAGCTATAAAATTACAAAGGGATTAAAAAGAGACAAAAAATGCATAAAAAATTAAAAATAAGTATAAGTAGAAATTAAACGTAAGTAGCTATATCAAAAACTTAAAAACATTACGTTTAAAACTATTTACATTCCTTGAGTTTTTGATCGTCTGACTGTGGGAGTTGAAATCGGAAACGGCATGATATTGTGTTCTTTGCTTTCCCCAATTTCTTTTGACACGAGGTAATCTAAAATTGCCTTTGTTACGTGTATTATGCCTATGAAGTACGTCTTGTCTAATCAAGTCCATATCGTGATTAATTAGGCCATTGATGCATTTGTATACGTGTACACACCTTCTTTGAAATCGCCTTTTCTCTAGAGGCAGCCACTTGAGAACGGCTAATGCCTCAGTGGAGGATGAGTACAATGGTCTATTTAAAATAACTTTAGCGGCCTTATTTTGCAAAACTTGCAAACTAGACATAAGGGTAATATTATGTTTATCGCCCCATACTAGATCAGCATATTCAAAAAGGGGCAGAACAAGACTTTTATAGAAAAGTAGACGAGCCCTGAAAGGCAATAACTGCTTTATACGCTTGAGAAGCCCAAGCCTCTGATTGATTTTCCCAGTTAGGTGTTCAACATGATCAGTCCATGTGAAATCCGAAGATATATGTATACCGAGGTATTTAAAGCTGCGAACATTACTTGTACTATGATCTAAAATTGAAACAGTCAAATCTACTTTGCTTTCGCGTTTCCTATTACTACCGATGAGCATGCATTTAGTTTTGTCCAAATTTAAAGTCAGTTTGTGATCATGGAGCCATTTCGCCACACCCAGTAGATCGTTATTTAACTTATCACTCAACTCCTTTGAGGATGTACCATAGCAATAAATTACAGTGTCGTCTGCATAAAGTGACGCGTTGCAGGAGTTAAGCACATTTGGCAAGTTATTTATGTAAATCACAAACAACAGAGGCCCTAGAATGCTACCCTGTTGCACCCCATGCGTGACTGGAAGTTATAACAAAGGAGGAAGTGAAAACGTTGCGGTATGTAATGATCATCATGAAGTTATACCAAAGGAGGGAGTGAAAACGTTGCGGTATGTAATGATCATCATGAAGTTATACCAAAGGAGGGAGTGAAAACGTTGCGGTATGTAATGATCATCATGAAGTTATAACAAAGAAGGAAGTGGAAAAGTTGCACTATGTAATGATCATCATAAAGTTATAACGAAGGAGGAAGTGAAAAAGTTGCGGTATGTAATGATCATCATCAAGTTAAAACATAGAAGGAAGTGAAAAAGTTGCGGTATGTAATGATCATCATGAACTTATAACAAAGGAGGAAAGGGAAAAGTTGCGGTATGTAATGATCATCATGAAGTTATAACAAAGAAGGAGGTGAAAAAGTTGCGGAATGTAATGATCATCATGAAGTTATAACAAAGGAAGAAGTGGAAAAGTTGCGGTATGTAAAGATCATCATGAAGTTATAACAAAGGAGAAAAGGAAAAAGTTGCGCTATGTAATGATCATCATGAAGTTATAACAAAGCAGGAAAGGGAAAAGTTGCGGTATGTAATGATCATCATCAAGTTATAACAAAGGAGGAATGGAAAAGTTGCGGTATGTAATGATCATCATGAAGTTATAACAAAGGAGGAAAGGAAAAAGTTGCGGTATGTAATGATCATCATGAAGTTATAACAAAGGAGGAAAGGGAAAAGTTGCGGTATGTAATGATCATCATGAAGTTATAACAAAGGAGGAAAGGAAAAAGTTGCGGTATGTAATGATCATCATGAAGTTATAACAAAGGAGGAAAGGAAAAAGTTGCGGTATGTAATGATCATCATGAAGTTATAACAAAGGAGGAAAGGAAAAAGTTGCAGTATGTAATGATCATCATGAAGTTATAACAAAGGAGGAAAGGAAAAAGTTGCGGTATGTAATGATCATCATGAAGTTATAACAAAGGAGGAAAGGGAAAAGTTGCGGTATGTAATGATCATCATGAAGTTATAACAAAGGAGGGAAGGAAAAAGTTGCGGTATGTAATGATCATCATGAAGTTATAACAAAGGAAGAAGTGGAAAAGTTGCGGTATGTATTGATCATCATGAAGTTATAACAAAGGAGGAAAGGGAAAAGGTGCAGTATGTAATGATCAACATGAAGTTATAACAGAGGAAGAAGTGGAAAAGTTGCGGTATGTAATGATCATCATGAAGTTATAACAAAGGAGGGAAGGGAAAAGTTGCGGTATGTAATGATCGTCATGAAGTTATAACATATAAGGAGTGGGAAAAGTTGCAGTATGTAATGATCATCATGAAGTTATAACAAAGGAGGAAGTGAAAAAGTTGCGGGGTGTAATGATCATCATGAAGTTATAACAAAGGAGGGAAGGGAAAAGTTGCGGTATGTAATGATCATTATGAAGTGACAACAAAGGAGGGAAGGGAAAAGTTGCGGTATGTAATGATTATCTTGCAGTTATAACAAAGGAAGAAGTGAAAAAGTTGCGGTATGTAATGATGATCATGAAGTTATAACAAAGGAGGAAGTGAAAAAGTTGCAGTATGTAATGATCATTATAAAGTTATAACAAAGGAAGAAGTGGAAAAGTTGCGGTATGTAATGATCATCATGAAGTGATAACAAAGGAAGAAGTGGAAAAGTTGCGGTATGTAATGATCATCATGAAGTTATAACAAAGGAGGGAAGGAAAAAAGTTGCGGTATGTAATGATGATCATGAAGTTATAACAAAGGAGGAAGTGAAAAAGTTGCGGTATGTAATGATCATCAGGAAGTTATAACAAAGGAAGAAGTGGAAATGTTGCGGTATTTAATGATCATCATGAAGTTATAACAAAGGAGGGAAGTGAAAAGTTGCGGTATGTAATGATCATCATGAAGTGATAACAAAGGAAGAAGTGGAAAAGTTGCGGTATGTAATGATCATCATGAAGTTATAACAAAGGAGGAAGTGGAAAGGTTGCGGTATGTAATGATCATCATCAAGTTATAACACGGGAAAAAGTGGAAAAGTTGCGGTAAGTATACATGATCATGAAGTTTTAACGTACGAGAAAGGGGAAAACTTGCGGTATGTAATGATGATCATGAAGTTATAACAAAGGAGGAAAAGGAAAAGTTGTGGTATGTAATAATGATCATAAAGTTATCTTATAGGGGGAAGTGGAAAAGTTGCGGTATGTAATGATCATCATGAAGTTATTACATAGGAAGAAGTAGAAAAGTTGCGGTATGTAATGATCATCATGAAGTTATAACAAAGGAGGAAGTGGAAAAGTTGCGGTATGTAATGATCATCATGAAGTTATTACATAGGAAGAAGTGGAAAAGTTGCGGTATGTAATGATCATCATGAAGTTATAACAGAGGAAGAAGTGGAAAAGTTGCGGTATGTAATGATCATCATGAAGTTATAACAAAGGAGGAAGTGGAAAAGTTGCGGTATGTAATGATCATCATGAAGTTATAACAAAGGAAGAAGTGGAAAAGTTGCGGTATGTAATGATCATCATGAAGTTATAACAAAGGAGGAAGTGGAAAAGTTGCGGTATGTAATGATCATCATGAAGTTATAACAAAGGAGGAAGTGGAAAAGTTGCGGTATGTAATGATCATCATGAAGTTATAACATAGGAGGAAGTGGAAAAGTTGCGGTATGCATTGATCGACATGAGGGTGTAACAGTGGAAAGTGGAAAAGTAGCGATATGTATCAGTCGACATGAAGATATATCATGGAAGATATAGTGTAGAAAAGTTGCGGTAAATGTTGATCATCACGAAGTTGTAACATTGCGGGATGTTTTAAGCATCAGGACCTCATAACATGAGAATAGTTGAAATGTTGCGGTATGTATTAAAGATCAGGAAGTTATAACGGGAGGAATTGGTAAAGTTGAGGTATTTATGAGAAATCAGGAAGTTATAACATAGGAAGAAGTGGAAAAGTTTTGTTTTTTCTCGAACGTCTGGAAGTCATAAAATCAGTGGGAAAGTGTGGTATGTATTTGACATCAGTAAGTTATAAGATAGGAGGAAGTTGAAAAGGTGTGATGTGTATTGATAGCCACCTTACCATAAGAGAAAAAAGGCAAATAGTTTTTAATTAATTAGTCATGGAAATTAAGGTTTGATAATTTTTATGTTCCTGACAAGAGTATTGTAGAACGGTTAAATACTTTTATTTGGCATTAATACAGTTTAGAGGATATACTGGCGTCTGTGAAAATGTCCTCTTCTGCTTCTTTCTTTCGTGAAAGTACATCCCTTAATGAAATGAGCATGCCTAATTTTTTCCTAATTAGATTTTTCAATTCTTTTTGTTCATTTTCCTATGACAACTTTATTGCAACTATGCAGAAAGCCTTAAAGCCAAGATGGCATGCAAATAAGGGGATTTTCAAACCCTGCGTCACTCATTGTAGTCCAACTTTTGGGACGGGAAGCTTGACCAAAAGATTGGAAAAGAGGTAGAAAGATCGTCCACCCTGTCAAGTAATACCAGGGCAGTGTTTTATTGCTTTCATAAACGGGGATTCATGTCCTTGGGAGAAGTTGCTGTTATACGACACTGGAATACCGAACATGATTTTGTCGCCAAAATAACTGACACTAATACGTTTGGTGCGCGAACGAAAAGAATTTTAGTCATTATGTGGCAAAAAAAAAAAAGATTTTTCATGGAGGGATGTTGCAAACAGTTCACAAGATTGTCCTTGATGCCTGTGAAATTCTATAACAAATCCTAACGGTTGATATTTCATAAGAAGTTAAACTTTAATCAACTAGTTAAAAACTTCACTTGGCAAATTTGCCTAGTATCTTGTGTTCGCCGGTAAAATAACAAATATTACAGAGGCTTTAATTAAGAATGCTGTAAATGGCCAACAACATATGAACAACCAGGAGCTATTCGGGAGCCTCCCAAGAGTTAGTGAAACAATCCGTGCGAGCAGGTTAAGATTTACTGGCCATTGTGCTTGTCACAATGAAGAGACTGCTTCAAAAGTGTTGCTTTGGGAACCTCAACATGACCAAGAACTACATACATTGACACCCTCAAGGCTGACACAGGACTGGACGATACCAAAGAGATAAGAAATCCAATGCTCGATCAGCTCGTGTGGAAAGATTATATTAGGACGACTCGGGATGATTCCCGGCCTAAGTGAGTAAGTATTAAGTAAGTAATATTCCTGTAGAACATGTCCCTAAAACCTTATCCCTTATCAATGTTAACGAACCTTTAAGGATTTGAGGACCATAGTACAGACAACATAAGAAAGATGACACGGTTGATCACATATGTATATTCAAATGTTTACACTGCGTAAGGCGTGATTAGATGTTTCGAGAAATGTTCGATTTTGTGATATCCACGAACTTCGTGAGCTAATAGTGGGAGGCGAATAACATGGAAGTCTTCATACAAATCTTGAATCTGAAAATAAAAGCGGCAAATAATTATATGGACGAGGATCTAAACGCCCGGGTGGATTTAGTGTGAATCTGTTAAGAGAGTAACAAGTGGTTTAGGGGACCAGGATCTAAACGGTAACTCGTTTGGATAATGTTTGAATGTGTTAAGAGAGTAACAAGTGGTGTAAGGGACGAAGATCTAAACGGGCCGTAACGAGTGTAGATAATGTTTGAATATGTTAAGAGGATATCAAGTGGTACAAGGGAAGAGAATCTGAACAGGCGTTATGCGGTCGGATGAGGTGTGAATGCGTTAAGTGTGTCTGTTGTGACGGCTTTGACTGTAATAGCCTGCGTGGCAGGCGTTCGAAAGGGAAGGGGAAGGGAATTAGGGCGCGATACCACGCGCGAGCGAGGAGGGAGGAGGGAGGAAGGGAACGCCTGCAAGGAAGCCATTGTTTTCGCCATCCCGTCTGCTAATTAAAAGAATAACAAAAATAACGCAACTGTGAATGACTAGCTGTCAAACATGTCTGGTCGCGATTCACGTCGTATTTCTCGCACTGTTTTTCTTTTGTTTTCCTAAAACAAGAGATCTAAAGTAAGTTAATATTAAAAAAGTTCAAATGCGGTCGTCCATTGCCGTTGAGAGATGATACTTTTCAGAACTAGTCAGTAAAAAGCCTTTTCCTTCATACGATTCTTAAACTGCTTTTTTCTATTCTCCTTTTAAGCTGATGCCTTCTAACGATGAATTCCCGTAGAGGAGGCCTTCCAAGGGGGGTAGCTGTGTCGCAATGTCGCTTGCTTTAGGAGACCGTTGTCGCCTAATCTACAGCTGCAAATGTCGCTGTCGTTTTTTGAAGTGTACGTAACTGTACCAGTCATTTTTGTTTTGCGAGAAACTGTTTCGCAACAGGGCTATAACAGGATTTTCATGGTGGTCAGTTGGCAAAACTTTGTGAGCGGCGAAGGATGAACGCTTCTTCTTCTTCTTCTTTAAGGGTAGGCTCCCGCGGGAAAATTTGGAAAATCTGAACCCTCAGAAATGCAATTTCCTGTATTCTGAGTCACTTTTACTGATAAAATGCACAACTTTCCAATGTCACCGTCGTTTTTCACTGTTTAGTATGTCGCTGTCGCATTTTAGCAGCGTAGGCATGTCACTTCTCGCTTTTTAAAAATTCCCATGTCGCCAGTTTTCAGGGCCGTGTCGCATGTCGCTTTTACCCCTTGGAAGGCCTCGTAGAGAAATCTCATCACACTTCACTAACGACATATGTTTAGTAACTCAAATGGCGTGATGTTGATTTCAACCAATCGGAAAAAGGTATTAAGTCGAAGATTGACATTTAATTAATTCTGACCAACCACTATTTTTAATCTGAGCGTGAAAAATGGAGAAAACAATGGCGTCCTTGCAGGCGTTCCTTTCCTTTCTCCCTCGCGCGCCCAAATTTCCCCTCCCCCTTTTAACGCCTGCCAAGCAGGCTACGACTGTAATGTGTTTGTTACCTGTTCAAGATATTTGTTCTGAACTCTCGCTCGTGCTTCACATAAAGTACACGCCGCACCTACAAAAAAAAAACAAATTTCAACCATGGGTTTTTCCCCAACTGTGGACGTATGTAAGTTTACTTCATCGCTTAAATACGTTAAGTTGGACCTTTAGACTGAGCCAGGGTACTGGGTAACAGATTTAAAACGCTACGGTTCGCTTTCATTTAATGTTTCGGCAACTCCTCAGAAATCCCAAAATTAAAGATCCCTGTAGCACAAGTCGCATGAGTGAGTTTCGAGGCTGACTTTCTAAACCTTTCCGCTTCGTCTTCTTTATTGAGGGGAAATAAATTTTTACGTTATTCCAAGAAATAGTAAGAACTTGTTTTGGCGGATAAAATCTGATCCTGGCCTTTTCAGGGTGTCTCTTTTGATGACATCACGGTCCAAGTTTGCTAAAATGCACATATCGAGTTATTCAGCCACAGGCTGGCTCAAAAGTTGCAACAACCTCATTAAGCACTTAAAACATCAAAAAGACAATTCTTCTTGACAGCTATACGCGTTGTTCAAGACTCGAAAGTGACAACCATTATAACGCCAGAGTTAACGCTGGAATTTGAAAAGACGGGAAGAACTATAATTCCCTAATAACAATTAAGATAAGATTAAGGGTCGTCATACCTGTGTTTTTGTCAGGAAAAACAAGCTGATTTACTATTATGTTATGCGTGTCGATTTCTGACTTGGTGAGTTCTTGCACTAGTCTCTCTGTTTCGTAAAGAGACAAAAATTCTGCTATACACACGCACACAAATGTTGTGTGATCCTACAAAAAACAAGTACGTATATGGTTAACATATAAAATATATACAGATATCAATGGAAAAATACTGTTGTCATTGAAGGTGAAAAAATAATTCACTTTACTTCAGAGAATATTTTTAAACACACTTCTCCTTTTAGAGAGACTCTTTTACTTTTCTTTGTGTGGCAAAGGGATTAAATATATCTACGGAACTTAATTATTGTTCTATAGTAAAGGTGATTGTGAGAATAGCCAGCGAGCAAACCCTCTCTCGTAAGGGATACGGCCATAAGGCGAGAAAGCGTGCTCAGAAAGGGATGGGGGAAGAGGGGGAGAAGGCCGCTCGGCTCTCCTCGCCCATTCGGAGGCCCCAAGATTCCATTAATGAATTGATTATTTGAAAAATGAATCCGTTAGTCGTTCCCGTAACTAGTGCGAAATTGAAGTCGGCATTCCTGCATGCGTAATGAGCAGTGAATATTTTACGAGACCTTATCTGTATCTGGTCAGTTTGAAAACTTTGAATGGTTAAAATTGCATCGAAGACATTTACATCAAATTCTGAAAACAGCTGGTAGATATTTAATTAACTCCTTCGCGTGTGAATTCACGGCTCATTATGCATACAAGACTGAACAGATGGGTCTGAAATCCACAACTACCAACGGATTCAACCTTCGAATAATAAATTCATTGATGGAATCTTGGGGGTACACCTAACTTGGGATGACTGTAAAAGTAGTGTTATATCAGTGGGAATCAATTACCTCTAACTTAAGATCAGTGGGACATTTTATCCTGTTTTTCTTCTATTCAAGCAAAGTTGAGAAGTTCACATTTAGTTAAAGAAAAGTAGAATCAAAATAACACATACTGGATTTTTGAATTGTTCACTGACTTGCTGTATGACAGGTAATGTATCCTCTAGTTTCTTGGTCATTTGATCTGCGTTCATGTCATGAATGCCTAGCAATGACCCAAACTAGAAAAAAATAAGTAAGTAATAATAATGATGACAATAAGCAAAAGAAAAAAAATGAAAGAAAAGAAAAAAGAAAAAGGAGTATTGTCCAATACACGTTCTTGATGGTTTCTGTTTACTAAGAGGCGAATTGCGGCAGGGGGTATTTTGCAGAACGCCTAATGGCATAATGACACTAAAGTTTCGTGATCAGGGCTAGGAAACTGAGTGGGTCCCATTAGGGTCACTGTACTGGGAAAATGGACCTGAAACTTGATTCGCTCAGTTTCCTAACCCTAATCACTAATCTGCGTTCGGCATTCTGCAAAATACCCCTGCCCGGGCGAACTGTTATTAAAAGCTTAAGTTTCTGCAGAGAAACAGCTGAAAACCAACTACTGCGGAGCTTTGTTTGCCTTAAATAATGGGAGATCAAACATGAGAGCTCGACATTGAGAAGAGCGTTACTTGCCCGATTACTCAGACAAGTACGTACAAACAAGACCGCTGTGAACAGGCAAAAATTTTATCGCCGAGTGTGGCGCATTACAAGCCACGCGTCAACTCGGATACTTCTCTGGTTAACACACCTACTCCTTTGCTTCTTTGGTACGTAGTACGCGTTGAAAAAGATAACCTGCCAACTAGAATACCTGAAGGTTCGGTGGGGCGCACTCTACAAACAAGGAATACACAACCGGCCATCTTTCCTTCATTACGGAACGCTGAATATCATTACTAAACGATAGCAGCGTATGAAAAAAAGGCACATGGCCAGGGAACTAATTGTATGTGATCCCTAAATAACGTTAAAGCCACCCATTTACTCAGATCGAGACAACACTCACAAAAATAAAAATCGATAGTTTTGTGGCAAGATTAGCCAAGAAATGGAAGAGTCTTCGTTTCAGGCCTTCAAAAACATTGTTACAGATGCAATGTTATATGTATGTAATAATTTGTATATTTTTACAGATCGCGACAGTTTTCCCTCGATCCTACACGCATATACGAGAACTACGAGAGGGCATACCGCAGTTTTGAAGGTAAATACTAATAAAAATAAATAATTAGACAAAAAATATTACGTAATTCACTTCAAATCGATAAAAACTAATCGTGGATCAGTCAAATAAGTAAAAAAAGAAAAATAAAGGAGTCCCATTCATTAATTGTCCAAGACCAGAAACTGAACTTCTACGCATCAAATAAAGTTTTAACTGGGACAAATTTTCCTAGCGGATGGAAATTTTGATGCGGAGCTGTTCCGTTTAATACACAGTGGAATGGTGATTCCTTTTTCGTTCTGTAGTGTTTTGTGAAGCAGGCACTAGCCGTAGTCATTTGCCTCCTCTGTTTGAGAAACGGCCAAAAAGTTACATGTAGGCGGTTTAGACCAAGCATAACGATTTCTCTATCCATCTACGGAAAATTCTGCATTTAGATAACTCGTAAGATTTATTAAAACAAAATGTTATGCAATCGGCCAGGTCTTGTTGAGCCAAGTACACTGTACCCGTGATAACCAAAGCGAGATCAACAATGTCTCAGCTTCCAATTTTTGAGCCGGTAGTGAAACCCGCGCTCTCACCATTTGCACAATTTAATCTACCTCTCTCAGTCCTCCCAACCCTAATATTTAACGGGCCATTCTCCCCCGAGCTTCTGCGATACACATATTTGTATTTGAGCCATATACCTGTGATATGAATGGTGCTATACTGTTCTTAAGAGACATAATCTTTCCAAGAGACTTCTCAATAATAGATGGAAAGGCCAGCAATCTAAGGGTGTGACCAGTAGGGGCTGTATCAAACACAACAACACTGAAATCCATCGTGTTCACCAACCTGGTGAGAAAAAGCCAATTGATTATATCAAGAACAGTTCCATCTTGGGTCTACTCATAATAGTCTATACACTACCTCATGACTTCTGCAAAACTCATAGCCTCATCAATTCCTGGAAATGCCCCAAGAAGCTCTTTCACCATGTTCTTACCCATGGACATAACATCTACAGGAAAGTAATAATACAGTATAACAGTTTACTTGTTACATATTGATAGTGGTCATGATGATGATGATGATGATGATGATGATGATGATGATGATGATGATGACGAAGATGATGATGATACCAGTGATAATGATGATAATAACGTTAGAAAAAACAATGAGACAACTCAGTATTCTATCTAGTGATGTTCATATAAAAATAATAAGGATACGGCATTGATCAATAACTGTAAACGAAAAATAAGAGTACAAACATATCTGTTAAATGTATGAGCACTTTGCTAGTCCAGAATCTAGGAAATAAAAGGAGGTAAATTTGCAAAGACCCTCGCCAAGATTCAGGTCAGAGGAACATTTTATATCAGAGATATCCGAAGAAATATGATTTATTACCCAAATTTATAGAGATTTGTTTGGAGAACCATGCTGGTGTCCATCTGGATGAGCACCAACATGGTGGACCGAAACCAACAGGAACATTTGTTACCGAGTTTTGCTACAAAAGCATGAATTTATTCCTTGAGGAACTCATAACATTAATTTTAAAGAAATACTTTTTTCTATTACATGAACTGTTTAGATAGCAAAGTTCCCCAAAATAAGTCACTTTTTAACATACATGACAGCTCTCTCAGCCATCATGTAAATGCCATGTCACACGAAAGCTTAGATCTTCAGGCGTACTCTATCACAAAACCAAGAATGACTTTGAAGCAAAAATTTGTTTGAAAATTAGTTTTCAGCTGCTCTAATACATTTTACATGAAAGAAAAATCCCAGTAGGATAGATAGTTTTGTAGTTTGAATTATAGGGACACCATGTGAAAACTGACAATATTGTGTTGTGGAACCCGAAAATAATGAGGTACATGTACCTACAGACTGGTAAACAGATGTTTGTTGAAATGAGGCTACTCCATACTTTTTACAACTAAAAGGTAAAAGAGTGCCATTTGTTGTTAAACAGCGGTATCAAGGTTTTTCTTATTTACTGGGATTTACATAGACTACGAGTAGTCCCCCATTTTTCCTCAGGGATAGTAGAGCGAGCGAAATGCGAGCGCGCATGAAAATCACCCCACGCATGAAAAGGCGACTCACCCTGCCGCGTGTCGCCTTTTCTCGTGTGGGGTGATTTTCACACCCGCTCGCGTTTCGCTCGCTCTACTATCCCTGAGAAAAAATGGGGGACTACTCGTAGTCTAGGATTTACATGTATTATAATAAGGTTTTCACTGAAGGACATGAAGCCCTTCAGGGTAAAAGTAAGTCTATTCAAAAATATTTAGGCACAAAGACCATCTTTTTCACAATAAGGGTGATACATACTGTCCTTTAAAACAGTACAGAGTAATTTTGTCTCCCAAAACAAGTGCAATTTCAGGGCTGTTGTAAAGTGCCAAGAAGCAGAGATTTTGTGTAAAAAAGCATTAATTAAATTATTTTACAGTGTACCTGGTTCATCAAAAACATCATCAGGAAGATGAGAAAATCCAATGTTAGGGTCTATTTCCTGCAATGGTATTTAAGTGAAAATTCATTTAACATTTATAATTTTACAGCTTTTTCAAAGCAAAATATCATAATTGTACTCTGCTTCCAATAGGACTATCATGGTTAAGTATAATGAAAAGCAAATTAATGTTGAAGGAATGAGAAATCCTGTTAACATGGATGTACACATACATGGCTTTGGCTAGTTATATGCATACCTAAAGAAAACATAAATAAATTTTGAATGTTGGAAAACACTGTAATTTATTTTAGTGTGATATTCACCCTTGTTTTGGGTTGGCCTGTATTGATAATACAGTTGCACCTCTATATGTGACCAATTCTCACAAGTAATCAGGAATCACCCATCATGAGCAAACTACGAAATCTTGGCCCCTTTAGGTGGTGGCATGGGAGCTTTGACTCTAGTATTTATATAGGTAGTTAATTGCAAAAGATATTCACGTGCCCACCTCATGAGGGGTTATTCCACAACCAGAGGGGTAGGGAGGAAGGGGAGGGGGGGCATTGTAGGAAAGTATGAACTTAAACTGGAATCCCCGGAGGAGTGGTATACATGTGTATGTACGTGGGAGGAAGGGTGGGTTCAGACTACATGTAATTAACCTATTACTTTGGAGAAACTTAAAATGATATCTTAGATTTTGAAGACAAACTTAGCAGTTTACTCACACTCACCATAGCAAAAAGGTTATTACAGCCTTTGACTTTCGTAGGAATGTTGCTAAATTTTTGATCAAATGCATCTGAAATATTGTGAGCAGGATCTGTAGAAATTATTAGCACACTTTCTCTTGTCTGGGCTAGCTGAAGGGCAATACTACAACTGAAAGAAAAAGGAAGAAAAGGGTACTGCTTTGTTAAACTGAGCAGAACACAAAGCTAACTTCTTGATACTGTATGTCTGAAAGAACGGTGTGTGTCAAATGTCAAATAATTCTTTTCAAATAATAATAACAATCTTTTAATAGGATGCTCCATCACAAGAGTGGTTTACATAGAGGTCCTAATTACGAGATGTATATTATATAATACAATTAAAATATAAAAAGTTAAAAAAAAAAAAAAAAAAAAAAAAAATTCAAGGTAAAATCGAGTTACAGAAATAATTAAAACATACACACTACAAGTACTCAATTATAAAAAGCAGAAAAAGACACTTCTTAAAAATTGGAAAACTTGCTGAGTTTCTTACAGTTCTCTCTAATTCATTAAAGTCTTTGAAACAGTGGTACATGACGTTGTTTTCCCCAATTATATTTAATTTTGGGGAGCTTTGATAGTATCGTTATTCTTGCCGTATTGTAGGAATGTATATCACTCTTTTTACAATGTCCAAAGAATGATTAAGTTGGCCATTAATACACTTGTATGCATATATACATCGATGACATTTCCTACGTTCTTCAAGATTCAGCCATCTCAAGACAATCAATGCATCGGTGGATGAGGAGTGAGGTGATCTATCTAATATCAACTTAGCTGCTTTGTTTTGGAGAATTTGCAATTCCTTCATAAGTGAGACATTGTCCTTGTCACCCCAGACTAAATCAGCATAATCAAAAATAGGTAGCACTAAGCTATTATAAAAAAGTAACCGGGCATCATAAGGTAAATAATACTTAATCCTACGTAGAAGACCAAGGTTTTTATTAACCTTACATGAAATATACTCAATATGGTCAGACCATGTGAAAGTTGAAGACAACATAACTCCCAAATATTTAAAACTACTTACAGAATTTATATCAGTGTCAAAAATAGATAACGTGAAAGAGGAAATACCAACAAGTTTCCTATTACTGCCTATAATCATGGATTTCGTCTTAGTAAGATTTAAAGTTAACTTATTTCCATGTAACCACTGGGCAACTTTCAAGAGATCATCATTCAGTGCCTCTTCTAACAGGTGTGGCTCTTTAGCAAAGTAGTACAGGACCGTGTCATCAGCATACAAAGTCACCGCAATTCTTTATAACCAGCGGAAGGTCATTAATATAAACCAAGAAGAGAAGCGGTCCTAGAATGCTCCCCTGTGGCACCCCAAAGGTCATCGGGAGAGGGTCAGACACAGCATCGCTACAGGCAGTCCGCTGTTTACGATGATTCAGGTAAGACTTGAACCACTGTAGAGTGCTGGGGAGACACACCGATAGCCGACAATTTAGATAGCAAGATCGTATGGTCAACGGTATCGAATGCCTTGGTCAGATCTAGGAACACTGCACCGCACAGTTCTCCACTCTCCATATGCAATAGGACCTCATCTGCAAAACTGGTGAGAGCCGATGTTGTAGACAGTTTGGGACGGAAACCAAATTGTTTGCTTGAAAGGAGATTATTTGAATTCAGAAAGTCATAGAATTGGGAATGAACGACTTTTTCCAGAATTTTACTCATTGTTGGCAGAATAGAAATTGGGCGATAATTTGACGCATCTCTCCTATCTCCAGTTTTGAAAAGTGCAGCCACTTTCGAGCATTTCCATATTTCAGGAAAATTGCCAGTGCGAATAGAGAGATTCAGTAACTTGGTGATCGAGGGACAAAAAGAAAGAAAGCTTGATTTAAAAAGGTGCTGGCTTGCACTCAATGCTGCTGCAGTATTGACTCTTTTGTTCTCACAAAATTTTTTTTCCCCTTCATGATTTGGTCCTTGGTAAATTATGTGCCAATCCAGGGCTCGGAAAAAAAAATTGATTTTAAGGCTTGTTCTTTAGGTAAGCAGCACTCCAATTATACTTGCCCAGCGCCACTTCTTACTTGTCTTACTATATGATTATTTCTGATAGAGGATGACTTACCTGGACTATTGCTTGTTGGGCAATCAAGCTTTAAAAGTTAATTGCCTTGCAAGAAAATCTATGTCCTGGACTACCGGACATGAATTTTTTCAATTTTTCAAATTTTTTTGCAAATCTAGACGTAAAAGAAACCTCAACATCACTTCCCCCAACCAAAATTCTACTAATTAATCTTAAATGGTTGAAAAGGCCCCAGCTGTCTCATTACCAAGCAGAAACAAAACATGAAAGTTGGTTTATTTTGTAAACCAGAAATCACAATTTGAAATGCAAAATGAGGGCATTTTGATCACTAAATCTACTAGGTACTTTTGTAGAGCATTTGACCACTGCATACCATGGCCAGAAATCTTGCACATCAAACTTTGTTTGACTTACATTCATACTGTCATGCAATAGTCATAACCCCTGGTTTTTACAGCGAATTCCGGGCTCATAATGTTAGGAAAGTTCAAGTGGTCAAATACATGGTTGTTTGTGGTCAAATAAAAGCCACTGATCAAATATACACATATTTCCAAAACAAGAAATGATGATGGTTAACCGATGAAATAAGCTTTCGAACGAGAGGTTTTGGAGAAAATTTGGATGATTTTGGGCCAAAATAAGAGGGTCTTGGATTACAACCGAGTAGTAGATGCGCTTTTACTATAGAATTAACAACAAATTCTTAAAACATAGGAAGGAAGAATATGCTTTTTCAGACGACAAAAAACTCACAAAAGAAAGATAAAACTCTCAACTTGAAGTCTTAAAATGAACATCTGAGGGTTTTCGAACCTAGCTGTCTCAATTAGCGAGGTTAATCAAGGCAGCAGTGCTCCACTTGCAAAGGAATCTTGTGGAAGACAAAGGTAAGTTTTTGGCATTTTTATTTCAATTCTGGGAAGCACAAAAATTTGAAGATAGGAGTTTAAGTTTGCCAAAACTGAGATTTAAAGAACTCAACCTTTCAGTCTGTGACTGAACAAATTGTCCAGGTATATTGAACACCATGCTGTTTTTTATCCCACATTTCTTTATAAATTTCCATTGTAAACTGTTGCCGGCTGCTTCTGCGCACACAAGAAATTTAAGTTTGGCCATGTGTATTAATGTTAGCCTTACGAGAACAAAAATTTGCACAAGACTGCCTTTTAATATTTTAATGCCTGGGAGGTTGCTTGCAAGAGATGTTGAAGTTTCGATCTCATGGGGACATTATTCTATGGTCACTTGGATTTTTCTTCATTTTCATGTACAGTTTTGATGGTTGTATTGTATAACTCTGTATAATTTGACATTGCAGATGCAGGGTGCAAAGAACGCCACTTTTACAACTTGCCATTCGGGCAAGCTGTAGCTAGCATGTACTAGCCAAAAATACATTTCAAATAGCCCCAAAAACGTTTTGATGAGCAGGATTGTTTACACAGTTCTTATGTAACTTGAATTCCTGAAAAAACTTCACTTACCCATTAAGCAAGTTAAGAACCAAATTCATGAGCCCAGTAGCAAAATTCTTTGCACACTGTGATGTGGGTGAGGGAATTATGATCATGATATAAGTACACTTCCTATAAGAAGAAAATTACCACACAGCCCCACATATTAATTATGCAGGTGTTTCAATAAAAAAATGCTGTGCTCCCCCGGCCCATGGCCAATGCTATTCCCGTTGAGGCCATGAAAAATAAAGGCTATTAAATTAAATAATTAAATCAAATAAAGATTAAATATAAAAATCTTTTAAAATGTGCAAATATCAAATAAAAATAAATAAATAAATAAGAAGCTAACACGCTCCTGTTTGCAAAGAAATAATTTTTTAACTACACCTTTCTACTATTCTCACTTGTGCTATTTTTTCACAAACTGAGATCCTAACCAAAAAACCGACGACATCTGGTAACAAACTTTGACTTAAGACACATATTCATTTATGCAAAAATTGTATACAGACAATAAGCTTACATATTAAGCTTAATTTACAAGGAAAATTTAAGCTTATTTTTAAAGCATTAATGATTTGACTTAATTTTTACTACTGCTTATTATCGTGGCGCTAAATATATTTTCTATAACTTAACTTAACTTTAACTTTATTATTCCATCGCTCATATATTACAAACTCAGTAAACCCAAAGCCGGAGGCTTATACGGCCTGTGGTCAGAATGACAGAAACTATTTTATATAGAAATGAAGACTGTAGCCTAAACTACAAAACTAAAACAAGATACAACACATGGAACACATTAAAAAAACCCATGACTAACCTACAAGTTGTCTTGCCGACACCTCCTTTTCCGCCAACAAAAACCCAACGCAGCGTTTTCTGATCGATTATATTTTTAACCGTGGGTTCGAGCGCTTCGAAATCGTCTTCGACATCAGCAGTCGCCATGTTGAACGTGAGTATTCATTCTGTGGAGGAATGGGACCGAATTGTACTGTCCGCTAACCACTCGCACAAAGGGCGCAGGAAAAGAAATTTCAAAATGGCGGACGCTCTTTACCAAGAAAGAAAGGAAAGTTCATGAAGAGTGTTCGCCGGAATCTACAATCAGGATGTGTGGAATTTGCTGCTGTCTTTTCGTAGATAATCAGAGTTCGAGGGATAGTTTCCAGGTGGGCAGATTTAACTATTTGAAATAGAACAGCTGACGATTTAGAAGTTATACTTTCTTGTACTTCTTGATAACTGCTAGTGGTTGATCCATACTTGCGAGTGTTTGTCTGTGAAGCACCGCTCCTTAATTGAACAAAAAATCTAAGGAAATGCACCAAAAAGTTATTAGGTAAGTATGAGTACACCTGTACCTCAGTCTGGCGACAATGCCCCGCTGGGGCCACACATCACAAATGCGAGTGTTCTAGTGGGACAAAGACAAAGACAATCTGTAATTCAGAGTTTCTGGAAGGATTCAATCCCTTGACGGGTTAAACACACGGGATCTGGTTGATTGCTTATGTTAAGTATCCTACCGGAGAGGAGAGTGTGATGTTCATCGCATTTTTAGACCAAAAAAAATGGTGCTCTGCAGTTTTAGGCCACGTTCCTCTCCTTTTTTTTTCAATTTTCAAGTTTTGCACAACTAAAACACCTGAAATCGTTGTGCTATTGACTTCATGTATTGCAGAGAGGTCATTACCTCTGGAGATCTAAAAGCTGATGGAGACTCTATTTTGCTTTCATCCCTCCCTCCCCACCCCACCCCCTCCACTAATATCAACAACCAATCCGCTTGCCAATTACTGGAAGACAAATATCAATTCAACAATTTAATCTAGTCAGTATTTGCAGATCAGGGAGAAAAAAGGAAAAAAACTGAAAAGGGAAATATTTTAAATTAATAACAACTGAAAATTTCATTTTAAAAGGTTATTTCAGGTTCCATTCTTCCTCACCTGGAAAGAAGGGGTCCAGATCACAGTGGAAGAAATGAGGTTTCTGTGGAAAATGAAAATGGAACCATCTGCTTGGCTTTTGTAAGCACAGTGCTTCATTTAAGAGGCAGGAAGACTCCGCAGCCATTACAAGATGAGTGTGGGAATATTTTATTATGGAATGGAGAAATATTTGGCGGTCTAGCTGTAAGTACAAGTAGTGTGTTCAGGCTTTTGGGGAAAGATTGAAAAATAAAAGATAGTGCAAGTGACCACTTGAAGCATGTTTTGATTCCTTTGTTTGATGTATGTGCTACACTACTCAGAGTATGCAAAGAACTTTTAGTGATAACATGAAACTACACATATTGTCAATGTAGAAATTGCATGCAATGAACTCTTTTCTAAAATGTAAATGTGCCCCGACATCTTCTACAAAGGGACTTTCTGTTCTTGAAGTTCAATTCTCTTAAGCGACCACCTCTTGTAAGCGACCGCTAAACCTTCGCATTTTGAGTGATCATGTTTGGGAAGTTTGACTCAATCTGTTCTTCCAACCTTTTTCCTGTTTTCCCTTTTAGGTTAATGAAAGTGACAATGATACCTTGGTTCTGCTAGAATATTTGTCCAGCCATTATCCAGACATGACTCCTTCTCAACACATTCTTTCAACAATGGCCAAAGTTCAAGGACCCTGGTCATTTGTTTACTGGCAGGTAAACTTAAATAGGCACAGATTGAAACAGTAAATCTAATGATGGCAATATTACCATTATTTTTATTATATTATTATTATTATTATTATTATTATTATTATTATTATAACAATAATGTTAATGGATTTCTAAAAACACATTTTGTTGACATGAAAGCAAAGTTGATTGACAACATCCATTTTGTGTTTTACTTGATAGGACATATTAAATCTCAACAAAATTAATGCAAAGAAGACAGGGGAGGGTGCTGACCAAAAATTCTAATCAATTACACAACCCACATTTCTCTGGTGACCTTTTTTAAAATTAGTGCAAGTAATTTCTTTTCCCTTGGGAGTTTGAACATTTGTTAGAGTGTTTTTAGGAAAAACCAAATCTGGACTCATTAATTCATTAATCCTAAAATATTTTCGTTAATTTGCTAAAATCAATTGAAATGGATTTTGAATCTAAACCAATCGCACATGAGTTTGTTAGATCAAATCTAAATCCTGATTCCTATGTTATCTGTTCTTTTCATACACCAGTCAAAAAAAAAATACTCCTTTCATGCGGTTTCCCCACTGAAAATATGAGGTCCACCCTGTTGTCATGAGTTAATGTAGGTATTGTGGACACGCCGAAGTAAAAATTTGGGTTTTTTTGTCTCTGTCGAAATAACAAACGCAAGGAATTTGAGAACCAAAGATATTTACTTGGATTTTCCCAAAGAAAGGCAACGCGCCACTTTGTAGTTTCTTTTGTTTTTATTGCTATTTTTGTGCAGGCAAATGAGCAGAAACTTTGGTTTGGTCGAGATTACTTTGGACGTCGAAGCTTGTTATGGCATCTTCCAACAGATTCAAACGATGTTCTAGCAGTGACGTCAGTGACGGAAAGAAATTCTTCTGCAACTGATAAACTGGTATTCATTTCCTTTTCTTTTCTTTTTTTTTCTCTAACCTTTTTCACGTTGATCCTTTTCTTCTCGCTTAAAATGCTTGTGTGAGGGGGTGAAAAAGAATACAATCCTTGCATGATGCAACAGATCCTTCACGAAATGACACGCACCATCACCAAACCACGATCCTCGGAGAGCGTCTCTTACGCGTTAAATTTTGATCGTTCCTTCTTAACATGGATGGTATAGAGTGCTTCTTTTTTATGCCTTTATACTATCTTTGGCGGCGGTTTAGCTTTGGCTAAGCTGTTCACAAAATTGTTTATTGAGAGAAAACTTATATTTCACAGATAAAAATCACTCATACATAAAAAATGCACTTCCCCGCTCCGCTTTCCTTAATTCCGCGGCTCTAGATTTCAATTTATTTTCCAAACTTCCAGTTTGGATATCTCTGGTAAGCCGACGCCTGGTCCAAAATCTGGCCATTTACTAGAACTCTGACTGTGTGCCCGATGAAATAGGAGTTCCAGGTAGTAGACGGCCTTATATTTGCTTCGTTTGCTCAAGATGGTGTATAATACCTTCGTGATTTGGAGTGATTTAATTTATAGGTTGTAGGTTCATTAATACCACAGTCAATCTTTGAGACAGAGTTTATCGACTCGGCCAACAAAAGATCATGGCTCACGATACAGCTATTTTGAGAAAGGTTGTCGGAAAATATGTGCGCGCAACAATCCCGAAAGGTAACATGGGATATGATCAATATACTGTTCCTGACACTGTAGCTGTCGAACATACTTTTGTTGCTTTCCTTTAGCACTTGCAAACATATGTCCATGGCCTATCGTGTCATTCTTTCAAATTCCGTTGAAAAACAGCAAACTTAAGATCACCCACAATACCTTACGGGATTGTCGCGTGCACTTTTTCCGACAACCTTTCTCGAAATAGCTGTATACATAATGTACATCACACTCACCCTATAACCTGCTTATGACATAACTCCCAGGCTCAAACCGTTTAAAACGTTAAAACGTGCTTTATGGTTATTTCAGCATTTTGAAGAAGTTCCTGCAGATGGCTTATATTGTGTGGATTTGCTAAATAACACTAGGGAAGAGAACACGAGAAAACCTTTAGCCATTCGCAAATTTGAGTGGAGTTCCAAAGATGCAGATTTTCAAAACTCTATGTTCTTAAGCTGTCCCGTGTTACCGTTTAATAAGCAGATGCCCTCAAGGGAAGATCTACGTGTTATTGCGGAGACCAGACAAAGAATTTACTTAAAGGATGAAGAAAAACTGGAAGAAAATTTTACATCAGAAATCAACAACATTTCTAGCAAGGATAAGAATGCGAAAGTCGAAAAGATCGCTGTCGAAAGCGAGTTTTCTTATCTTGACAACTCTAAAAGTATAGCAGGCTTAAGTAAATCGGAAATCCAAGATGCGTGTCCTAATTGTGAAGAACGATACGAGTTCCGAGCTCTTGAAAATTGTACTAGTACTGTAAATTCGAGATTCAGTTCACCCAACAGAGCGCCCACAAGAAATGTTGAGTTAAATGCCTCCGACAGTCTACCCTTTCTAGCCTCCAGAGGTCTTTCAAAACTTAACGACGCAGAGAAATCGCGACATAGTTTTGAAGAAACTATACCTCGTGAAGCAACGCCAAGCGAAGCTGGCGATTGTAAAAGTATACCACAAGCATGTTGTGATCGTGGTTTGGTGGAAACACTGTGGAATTCTACCTTTGAAGCGCTCAGAGACAAGTTTGTTACTGTTCTTGGTGAAGCAGTGAGAAAGAGAGTTTTTAACTTGCCAAGGATAAAGAGTAACTCCGTATCATTAGGTTTACAAGAAGCTTCATCCAGTTTGACTGCAAAAGAGAAGAGCTCTCTAGAAACTAAGGACAAAGATGCTCGTGTCGGAATTTTATTTTCTGGTGGTATTGACTCAATGATGATAGCAGCTTTAGCGGACAGGTAAGGCGGTTGAGTATGCGTATAGTTGTGCCGTTGCATTGCAACATACCAAGGTTCAAGCTTTTCTATCTCACGGCTTTTTTTTTTAGCCTACACAGAAAGATCTCCAGTCTCACTAGCCTGCGTAGCAAGCGTTTACAATCGAGTCATTGAGCGAAAGTTTGAGCGAGAGCAAAAGAAATCATTCCTTTTATTGCTATCATCCCACATTTCAAGACGAACTCGCGCGAGAAATGCTTGCTACGCAGGCGAGAGTGTTGATAAAAAAATTGAAAGAGCTACCCACACAGATACGTAAAACCGGACGGGAACCAAATGTATCAAAAGACAACAACAAGAAAATAGAAATTAATAAATTAACGCACACACAAAATAATTGTTTCTTTGATCTAAAATTAAATGTGCTGAAACACCGACGTGTTTACCCACTAAGCGATAAAACGAAGGAGGAGAGCCGGAAAAACCAAGGGGGTAAGCGGGGTTTGATCAAACAAAGCATAGCGAACTCATGAACTCAAGACAGTTTGCCCGTTTGCCATTACTTTACAAAAGGTGTCATCGTTTAACAACTTTCAACTTTTTTTAGGTTTGTTCCTTTGGATGAAGCCATAGATCTTATAAATGTGGCTTTTGAACAAAAGCCGCGTTCGAGCAACGCACAAACGAGAAGTGGTAAGAAAAGAAAGGAGAAGCAAAGTGCAAAAGCAGCAGCCAATATAGAAACAACAAACTTCAGCGTTCCAGATAGATTGACTGGAATAGCAGGTTTGGAAGAACTTCGACGCATTAACCCGGCACGACAGTGGAACTTAATTGAGGTAAGTTTGCGCGTAATGATGCGGTTAAAGCCCTCTTTACTAGCACGTAGGGTAGACATAACGGCGGGGTTACCTAGCAATACAGACAAAGTAGCCAAGGTTTTTCGTGGATGACTTTTTTTTTCGGTAGGTATGGATTATACCCTGTTTAAACTGGTCCGAATAAATTTTTGAACGATTTTCCCCACATGCAGCAAGAAACCTGGCCAAAATTTGTCCGAACTCTCTGAACGGGCTCTTAGTATCCCTTGCAGCCTTTTTTTCTGAGAAGCGCTGCGTGACGACACAAAGAAGGCAGTGAAGGAGACTAGGGATGGCTTGTCTACCCAAGAAACCTCAATCAAACACTATGCTTGTACTACCTCAGTTCAGTCGAACTTCTCCTTTCAAAAGTATCTAAAATACGGACTAACTCTCTACTACGTACAGTGCTCTTGATTCCAGAGATAGGAACCTTCATACATGTAGGTAAAAGGTAAAGGGGGACACGAGCCACGTTTCTGTAGCATGAAGCAAACCCAGGAGTATTGCTACTCCCCCCTGTACGGGATGCTAGTCCAACGCAGGGTTACCCCCCTGCAGTATGTCGCCGTTACCCAGTTATATACCTGTGTAAAGAGACACAAAGGGGAATAAAGTTCGTTGTCTAAGGAAACAACGCGTCGGGCAAGGCTTGAATGTTAACTGCTCGGCCACACACGCCTCCACGAATCTTCATATAATTGTGAATTTATTCACAAGAACTTTTGACAGCCCAGAGGTTGGCTTTTCAGTTGAATTGTAGGCAAGGCAAGTGACATCCGCTGCACTCGTATTTAAACTTCGGAACACTCTTTGGACATAATTTGAATCACACAAAACCTTAAGAAAGGGATGTGTTTGCAGACACTTAGTGGTATTTCCCATTGCTTTTAACCATTTTGTCTCCTTTGCCTTAAGGTTGATGTGACCCTTGAAGAGCTACAACAAATGAGGTACGAATCGTATATTGCTTTTAAGCCACTGCTGTCTACTCCTACATTACTTTTGAGTTTTCAATATGTTAGAAAAAATTATTCCTTTCCGAATGCCAAGAATGACGCGCTGCTAAGTCCTAATTTTAAATTGTACTCTTTAAATTCAAACTTTTTGTTCCCAATGATCAGGTCCCGCCATGTCAGCCATTTAGTGTCTCCTTTAAATACTGTGTTAGATGATAGTATCGGCTGTGCCTTATGGTTTGCTGCTCGTGGGACTGGTCATTTACGCTCCTCACACATGAACTGTGGTCTTCAGGATACCCTTTTGGTTGGTAATAAAGAGGATATATACACAAGTCAAGCTAAGGTATATAACACAAACATTTAGTACAACTCACTTTCCTCAAAGTTATCCTATTCTAGGCAGTGTTATTGTCTAAGCTGTAGAGTTTACCGTATCTACTCAAATTTAAACTTGTCGAGGGCGGCGCATATTTAAGGATGGAGTTTATTCTAAAGTTGGACGCGAGATAAAGAATTGTATTAACCAGGGTATCATTATTTTCCGTATTATACTCCCAGTATTAACGACTTCTGATTTTGATTATATCAGGGCCGCGACGCTAATTCGGGGGCGACGCTTATTTTAAAACTTCTTTCTTCCAAATGCGGCGTTTATTCCGGGATCGGTGCTTATTCAAGGAAATACGGTGTGAAGATTCATGTACAAATTGCCCGAAATATCTGTCACATAATCTGCCACTCTGGTTAAAGAGATATAAAGTTGTAAATGTATTAAACAAGATATTTTACACAGCAAAAACATTCATAGGTGTAAGCACAAATAAAGGAAAAATGATCGAAGAGGCGATTTTAGTATCAGCCAAAGGACTGTTGAACGGCCTTATTGTTGGTTTTATTTAATGTAAATATTTTTTTGTTTGTTTGTTTGTTTTAGGTATTGCTGGTCGGTATGGGAGCTGATGAGCAACTCGGAGGATACGCCAGGCACAGAACCCGCTTTATGTAATTACTCGTTCTGTTTAATAGTGTTTGCATAGCCTGATAGAAACAGGAGAGGGGTTGGGAGAATTCGAGACAGTTATGCAAACCCGAGACGAAGTCGAGAATTCTCTTTTAAACCCGTCGAGTGTTTATATCAGGCTATGCAAATACAAGAAAAAAAGTTTTCTATAGCTTTTATAAATCAACTTTCCGGAGAAAAAACGCAAAACTCTTTGTTATAGCACTGACTAAGACAGAAATTCTCACCAGTCGTGAAGTCTTGTACACGAAGTTCTTTAATCTTACATGCGTAATCAGTAGTTTTGCAAGAAAGCTAACGGATTCTTAAGATGCTAGGCATTTCCTTACTTGTAATTTATTTTTAGTTTTCCTTTTATTACACTGCATGTAACTGACTAAAACTCCCTTCTGTAACTATGATTATTCTAAAGCCAAATGTAAATAAAGCTTGTTGTTGTTTTTTGTTCTCCCCTACTAACTAGATCACACACATCCTTGCTTTCTTTTGTATTTCAGCAACGAAGGTTGGTCGGGTTTAATAGATGAGATAGAAATGGAAGTGAAACGCATTTCCAAGAGAAACCTTGGACGTGATGATAGGTCAGCGTTTACTGTATGAACATTGAATTTCATCTGCAGTGGAGCCCTAAAGCCTTTTTGAAACTATGTATAGAGAAGACCAATTATCTGTCTCACAGGAATGATTAGCCCGGAGATCAAAAAGTATTAAAGTTGTAATAACTCAAAGTTTGTTTAATTCAGTTAAATTCCGAAAATTAATCTCAGATGGTCAGAGACTTTTTTTATCGACTGAGTTTGCCAATGAGGTTCTCTAGATGTGTGTTGGCATGCAGGGTTTTCTGAAGTTTCCCCGGTGCTGATCCTGGAAACGACATTAGAATGTCCGTACAAGCATCCTGTCCAACTGTTTCCTCGAGTTTATAGCCAGAAAAATAGTTCGTGTGACAGCAAATCCAGTTAGAATGGTAACCTGTCTCTGGATCTATCATTGAGTCCGGCTACATGATTTTCTGTGCCTGGCCCTATTTGCATTTTTCTTCTTAAAGAGCTGATTGATTCATCGCGCCGTTGATCGTGCCTGCACCCTCCTTTCCTGTCAGTTTATCCGTAGGTTCCATTCAAAAGTCAACCTAAATTAAGCGGCCATCAGCTGGCTATTGTTGACTGTATTCCTAGATTGTCCAGTTGAGGCTTATAAATATATTTTTTAACACCAGAAGACAGCTGTATTGAACTGTTTAATTTTTCTGAGGCATCTTTCATTCGGTATGACTAAGTTAACAGTATTGTTTGAAAATGATTTTCAGGTGTATATCAGACCACGGTAGGGAAGCGCGGTTCCCCTTTCTTGATGAGGACGTTGTCTCGTTTCTGAACAGTTTGCCAGTGTGGATCAAGGTAGAGTGCAAAATGTATTTTTTGGTATGGGGTAGCTAATGTCCTTAGCATGTGAATGCAAAAGCATAAAATGAAGATTACTTTACAAAGTGAGTAGTGCTACGCATTTGAGTTCTCTTTTGCATTTTTCTTGGATGAGGTTTGCCATCCCCTGTCTAGTGGTAAAAATTTGTCAACAGACCTTTTCGCATTCCAGTTCAATATGTATGATCCGTCAATATCAAATCAGAACACATTGAACGGGCTTTGTAGCTTATCCTTAACTTTACTGATGTCTTTTTTACTATTTTGAATTATTAGTTTTCAAGGATAACTTTTCTGCTTTGAAGTCGTGGGGGTATGACGCTTTTTAGTGACAAAGTTCAACTTCTCAATTTCAGACAGACCCAGCCCTGCCGAGGGGGACTGGGGAAAAAGTTCTACTGCGCCAAGCGGCAAGGCTGCTCGGTTTGACATCATCATCACAGCTGCCCAAACGGGCAATCCAGTTTGGATCTCGAATTGCTAAAATGGAGAGTAACGGAGAGAAGGGCTCGGAGACTTGCTCAAGGCTAGAGTTTTAACGAGAATTTACTTTGGCCTGTTAGTGAGTACCACACTCCAGTATCGTGGTTAATAATAGCAATTAAATACCCTGTTCAGCAAAACAGACAAAGATTTTTTTCAAGTCAAGAAGAACAAGAGCCCCGCCCCTCTCCACGGAGAGGAGAAACTTTCTTTTGGTATGATTTTGCGCTCTGAAAATGATTCATATCCTGGTTATTAAAATGTCGGATTGAGCTATCCGCTGGATTAATCACCATTCAGGGGATAAGTATTAAGGAAACCAATTGCATTAATCACTGAATAAAGCTGGTTTTAACCAGTGGTTAGCGTCGTCCACCTTTCGAACAAATGGGCCAAGATTGCCAATAGCTTCATTAAATGTACTGTGACAAAACATCGTCAAGGTCTATCTGCTCTTATAGTGTTTCGCAGATTGTATTTATTATATTGCATTTTGCATTAAAAATTTATTTTCTGCGCTTGGTGTTACATTTGTATTTAAACTAACAATTTGGCACACTTTTTAGTGAATTTCATTCTTTTGCTTTCTTAAAGGCTTTACGGTCTCAGAATATACATGGTTAGGCTCTATTTATTTCTTTGTGTATTATATTTCACCTAGACTAGGTGGCGTTTCGATGGGCGTGTTTGCTGGACGTCCTTTAGCATGAGATTAGTTGGACTCTCGTCTGAGTTGTCTGAGGATACAGTATTTTGTTTTGTACCTATTGCGTTAGCTTTACGGGAGAAGATTTGAGTTTATGCAAAATGCTTCAAAATTACACTACAGCTAGACCTTTGGCAGTAAATTCCACTTTACGGTCCGTGACTCAAAACTGTGAAAATGTTCAAATGTTTTCTTGTTTTGTTTTGTTTTGTTCTTGCTTTTCTTGTTGTTTTTGTTGATGATGTTGTTTTTTTCTGATATTAAATTTCCCGAGGATAAAATAAACACGGGAACTTATTCCCGCCTTCCTTACCGGAGAACCCTAGGGTCATTCACATACGCCGTAACGTCGAGGGACCTCTTAAGATTTTCTCACCAGATTGCAGTTGAACGTCAGACGTTCGTCGTTTTATCGGCCATCAGCAGTAAGCGCGCGTCGTTGGTTTAGGGCGTTCAACTCATCACCTCATCTAAATTTCGCGATATCATCAAACCAATGCTGTCATTTCGATTCTTTTTCCTCCTACCCCTAGCGGCTAATAGCCAAGTATCTTCATGCTCATTAATATTGATTACAGCAAAAGTTAAACTACCTGCTTAACAAATGAAACATTGCTGTCAAAAAGTGTAAGTTCTAGGACAGTTTGACTTGAGATCTTTCAATTATGCACAAGACGGAGCATTGAAGCAAAGTAAGTTGGAAGAGCCTTCTGTAGTCATTCAGAAGTAGGTGCCTTTCTGATTTAAAGTGTTCTATTTTAATATGCTAATTGGTGTAAATATTCTGATTTTATAGGCCTGTAAGATACTCGAACTGAATTTTGGAGTTAAGCCATAACAATTTGTCTTAGAAATCTATCTATTCAGGAAAAAAGGTATTCTGAAAATATGACATTGTAAGTCGCGAAATGGGAGAAGTACCTGTCTGTATGTACATATTACATTTTTGAGTATCTGGGATGTAACACCAATTTGCCAATTAGCGCTGCTGACAATAAACTAGAGATTTGGTAGTTTTGGAAGTGAAAAATAGAAGGGGCAGTTGTTAGTTTAACGCACAAATGCAATTGAACTTTCAAACTTGTGCCGAAGTAAGTAAACATTTTTGTTGAGCGCCAAACCGTGTGGTTAAAAATAGACCATGTTTGTCAATTACTTATGGATCGCCCTGCGGCGTGCGTTTAAAACAAAACCCCAGCAAACCAAAACAGCGAAGAAACCCGAGCACAGTGGAAGCAAATTACCTAATCTGGGTTAAAACCTGTAGGTACTTATTACTTCGGAGCAGATGATACAAATTAAGCCTGTCAATTTGCTAGATACCAGGAATAAATGTTGATGATAAATGTTTTGGAGAAAACGTTTGCCTGCAATAGTGAAAAAGCTCAAAAGGTTTAACGCACACAGACTTGTATATAGGTCTTACATTCAAGCCTATTTCTAGGTGAAGACAGAAGGTCCCTTTACTTTGCAAAAGCAACACTAAAAATGACGACTAAACCAGACAAGACTATGCTGCTTAAGCAGTTTATATATCAATGCAGTCAATTTAACTTTTTTAAATTAGGAAAGGGAAATAGTGTCTCGAGAATTTATAACGGACAAGATTTAAATTCACTCCCCGCCTAATTTTTGCAGAAAAGGTGTTTTAGTGTACGTTTGTAGTTTAGGGAATAGTGGATTAGATAGAAAGGATAAAATCCTTCTTTGCTGCCCTATTCATTATGTTAACATTGAGGTAACTTGAAGATTTGAAACCCGAAAACAACTCCCAACTTAAGAAAAATAACGTAACCAATCGCTCACCGCGCCAATTTGCAGTTGACACCTACAAGGCCGACATAAACAGCAATTGCTTAGCCACTCAAAGTTAGTTGCAGCAAAGAACTGCCTTGCAAAACAAAAAGTAGACATCTCGAAGTCCTTACACACTTCCCGGGTAAACTAAAAATTCAAGGAATAGATGAAAAATTTCATGGGTGTAAAACTGCTGCTGTACGTCCCCGTTGCTATAAAATTTCAATAGAATTTATCGAAACGAAACTTATAATTCAGCGATAAAATATTGACGAAAATGATTGATAGAAATTTGCCATTTCTTAAAACGAGACATTTTCGTGCAACGAATTTTGCCCACCTTGATAGTTTTGAAAGACTAATAGTAACAACAATTTTGTTTGGTCATATCATATCTATGCTCCACACTGCAAAGCAAATTTCCAACACATAATTAGTTTGATAACTGATACTAATTTTGTTGAGGAAACTTTATGAAGGGGTCCTTCAGTGTGTACTGAAAGTTCATTAATTAATTCTCTTAATTGTATGTTTAGCATTAAGACTATAATGAAGGTCATTTTTTGAAAGGGAAATAATTCTGCACCTTCAGCCTTTACTAATTATCGTCGTTACGATTGAAACGTGTAAGTATTTCCGTTTTACATTGATATATTTCTTAAATTAAAGGTGTATATACTCATCTTTATTTCTTTGGTTCCAAATAAACCATGTCTTCAATTTTAAAATCTTGTATGTTTATATTGTCCAACAGGGAAAATATTCTGTACCCCCAGGGGATTTCATTTTTGTTATGTTTGCTTTAGTTTTTCCATCATGGGTTATTTTAAATTACAGGCCTTTTTGTTGTAGTTAGAAAAGTGAAAATTACTATAATTATTAAGTATTGTCAAAACGGTGAATGTCTTGCAAATCTACCGGTGAATATGAGGAGTTTAAACAATTCAGTATAACGAAAGAGACAAAATATAACATGACTGAGTATTGCGTATTCATAGGCCTGGGAAAGGTTGATATTGGATCAAGTTAAGCTATGTTGTTACTTCAGCCTCATCCGTATTCACCTGGCGTGCCAACACTTTCTCTTATATCACCCCTTGGTGGCCAGTATCCATACAAGTATTCTTGTCATGAATATTGATAAAAGCACAAGTTAAACTACCTGCTTAACAAAAAAAACATTTTCGTCAAGGGTATAACTTCTCCGGCATTCCCATTCGAGTTAATGCAATTATGCACAGGAAACTGCCTTGGAGTGAGACACAGCACGAACAACACACGCTAGAGTCTCAAAAGTAAGAAGCCTATTTAATATATTACAGGCATAGAAAAATGTTAATATATGCTTGTGAACAGTTTTCTTATACAAGAAGTAAATCACAAGGCGACATGTATGTTTGAATTCATACATTTGCTACAGAAAATCAGAATCGTTTTGAAAGGTTAAAACAATATGTTGCTTTTAGGAATCTGTTTCAGCAAACGCCTTAAAAATATGTTAAATTTTTGTTAAACGAGTTATTTTGAAATGATATCTCAACGATAAAAATGTCCGAGTGTAATTAAATTCGCAGAAGCTTAAACGAGGAGATTGAAAACCACCCTAATTGAAACAGACGCAACGTCAGAGTCACGAAGTTGTCAAATTGCGCGCGTAAAAAAGCAGTCACATTCTTTCTCTCGACGCTTTTTTTCTGCACTGGAACTTTGATGAAATACTTACAAATATTTCATCCACTGATGCAGAGGTTAGATCTCCCAATATTATATTTAAAGATAGTTCGGATTCTTAAAGTGATAACATATTAAGTTATTTGTTACCTCTAAAAAGAAATACAATCAAATTAACCGAGTAAATTCGAATATGAAAAACTATCCCCTTTAGGAGAATAGGTTACTTAAAAACTGGCAAAAAGGCTTTGGCTATGAATAATTTACTAATAGCCCATCGAATGTATCGTAAACACAGCTCTAGAAATTAAAATCTACAACGGCGTGGCGAATTAAGTTAATTAGTTTTGTCCAAGGGTATTTTGTACCCCAGCTTATGTTAATGTTAGATGTTTGGAGGAAGAAAAACTGACACCTTCTCTTTGATGCAAGTTGTTTAGGCATCTTCTAATATAAAGCAGAATTTTAAATAGACGGGAATTATGTCTTGCGTGATATGTTATTTGGCATGTAATTAATATTTTTTTGGTTGGGAGAAAAACTCAAGCAGAAAGCGAAACTCCCAAATTTAAGACGAGGTACTTTTGGACCTTTTAGTGTAACGGGGATTTGCCAAATAGAGAAAGCGCCATGTTATATGTTCCTTTAGATTTTATATTTGCTGAATAAATGATTCATTATTAGCTGAATCTCATATTTTTCTGTTGAGGTTTCACTAACGAAGAAAAGCAGGTTACTTTTACATTTCCAGCCTGGTAATTTGAATGTGTTATTTAGTTCCTTGATGATCTGTATCTGATATCTGCATGTGTAGTGTTTGATCGCTGTTTTGCGTGAGAAGCAAAACATCTCGAGATTATGGCATATGTAAAGGTGAGTTATTTTGAAGAAACATTTCTTTTGTTAAGATATATTTAGGGTACTTTTATGTCTCATTAAACAAAAATTCAGTTTTATTTCAAGTTTCATTCTCCAGAAACAAGCGAAACAAATTAGTTTGTTCGGGAAATATCTAGTTTTGGTTGCGCGCTACTATTCATGATCATAATGCGATGAAGTTGCAATTTCTCCAAGATTATAGCCAGGTACTCTATATAAATGGGGTTCGTAAGTACAAAATGGATGTTGATAAAACTAGTTTTTTGCTTTAAAGGAGGAATGATACGAGTCGATCAATTTGTAACAACTCTGGAAGCTTTCGTAATAGATAGAACATTCCGCTTTTTTCTCGAAATTATTTCATTGATGAATTCTTTTTTCCCAAATAAATCCAGTTTTGAACCATTAGTCCCCATCGAAGCTAAAAAACAACAATAGGAGCAAGTAGTTACTCAGTTATTCAAATATGTTTACTTTCGTCGAAATACAAATACGCAATCATGATTAAGTCAAGTAAACACCAAAGAGAAAATATTCTCACCCATACTACAGATAGCTTTGACAGTCGAGGCGGGAGGTGTAGTGTAGAAAAAAATAACTCGAAATATTTGAATAAATTAAGTAATAAAATGAACAGATACAAATACAGTTAGGAATGTAGATTGTTCAAAGGCTTTCAAACTTGAAGGACGAAATACAAGGGATATTGTTTACTTGCTCATAGAAGACTAATTAGGTAGTGTCATCACGCAACGAGACTGCTGGAAAACCACAATCGTGTTAGATGAAGTTGAAAAATCTCTTGTGATCAGTGTCTTATATTGGCTTCAAGGTTGTCATAGCAACGTAATGACGTCATTACCTGTTTAAAATTTGGTGCTAATTCTCAGCATTGAAAAGTTTTCTCCAAAAATGTTCACGGGAGCTTGTACCTCCCCAAGCAGCCTTCATGGTGTACGCAAATTTTGAGCAAATTTGTTGAGGGTGTTATCGAGATATTTGGGATGAATGTTTTTAAGGGAAAGAAGTGAAGTAAAACCGAACGTGTGATAACTGGCTAATATCTAGTTGAGCGTAAATATCTGCTGAAGCGCTTCAGTAATATAATACAATTTCACTCAGAACTTCTGGTGCGATTCATTAAAACGCAACAATTTTTAACAGGTTAGGTTATTTGGGTGACGAAAGTTGAAAGCTAGACGTCTATTTAAAGACTTCTCAAATCACCCTCCATGGATGTACTTTTTTGCAAGCTGTCGACCTCCCGTAGACTTAAGTAATTTCCTCGTTTAGCTGGTCGTTCTGAGCCCTTGCCTTGGTCTATACTGGGGTGGTTTGGTAACCTAAAACTCATTAAGCTCAGCCAAAAACCTTTTAACGAGATGATCCTTGGGTTAGTTCTGCTTCATTTGGCGAGAGTTGAATACAGTCCGCTTTAGCTTTGGCTGAATTTGAGGGGACATTTACTAATCCCCATGATCGCAACTAAATGTTTATCATTACATCAGTGGCACTCGTTAACGTGGTTCACAGTCGACAGGATCACAGTCCGAATGTAAACAGTACATCACATGAACACGGAGTAGCAACGAAGGCTAGGCGGTTTCTTTTTGTAAAGAAACAGCGCTGCTGCGTCGTTTGAGGGATGAAGACTACTATCCAAAGAAGGATTCTTTACTGTGGCCAATTATTCACCTTGTCAACAAAGTAGATAATTTCAACTTCTTTTCTTTGATGAACACCTCCAATTTACACGACCTTTAGAAATATCTTATGCTTAAACAAGATGGCTGATTTACAACTGCTCTGCACATTCGAAACTGAGTTATTCTAAGGGTGTTTTCCAAAGGTCAGAAGAGTAGCTGGCCAGACTATAGCAGTCATTTTGATATTGCAATAGGCTTTTTCCAAGAGTTTTTTCCAATCTCCTTCGTGTATCTTATTTAGCATTTGACCAGTGTGGCTGGATAGCTTTGATTCAAAGTGAAATTCTCATTGCAACAGGAATGGTCTGGCCCGTCAGTTCTGACAAATGGAAAGCGCTCGTAAGACTAAATACTTTATTACTTGTTAACTCATTTTATATTATGTTAGGGAAATATACCATCATTAAATATTGAGTATTATTTTCTTATTTTACGGCCAAAACGATATCACGGCCGACCATGCTTTTATTTTACGACGTTTGCCTTCACCTTGGTGGTTATCTTTCTCAGTAGAGTTCCCACCATCAATAATTGATAACTGCGCAAGTTAAACTACCTGCTTAACAAATTAAACATTGCTGTCAAAAAGTGTAGAGTTTATGACAGTTCAATATTACTGCATTTTAATTATGCACAAGGAAGGTTTTTGATGCAAAACGAGGGAGGCACCACATCAGAAATTTAAAGGTAAATATATAGCTTAAAGATTTCAGTCCTTGTCCAGGGAATGCCGTGTATCTGTCTGTCAGTGTAATTACTATAATGACTTTTAGACAGTGCGCCTAATGATGACATTTCTTAAGCAGTTAATTGAATAAATGCACTACCCTAACTAGGCCAAAATGCTTCGTAGCATGAGGTTTAACTGTAGCATGTCAACGGGTTTAATTAAATTCAATTTTTCTCTTGAACTTTAGGTAATACTAAAGGGAAAAGTATTGAATTTGTTTCGCTTAACGTGAGGCAGTTTATAAAACAAATTAAGCAAAAATAATTTCGACACCTTCTCTTAATTGAGTTATTTTCAACCTGTAGCTGGGACATATTTTCACTGGAGACATTTTAAGTGATGACTTGGTTTTTGAATGAAGTACTTGCTAATTAATTTTGGGCACGATAAGAACGAAGAAATGAAACTGATTGTATTGAATTTTACACAAACCGTGTGGTAAAAAATGGAACCAAGTAATTAATAATTCATCATAGTACTGAATGTATTGAGAAACAAAAAACCAAAACTAAACAACGGCGAAGAAAATGTGGTAAATTAGATTTTATAATGTTAGGGAATTAACTAATTAAGATTAGGTAATCTTGCTCCAAATCTGGGAGCATTTACAGATATTTGTGGAGTAATTTGTACTGGTAACAATGAGGGGTGGCGAAATTAACAGAAAGGGGAAACTTATGTTTGTTTATTTTAAGCTGCATTTAGGAATTTGTTGGTTTTTTAGGAAGCAGGTGACATATTAGAGATTTTTACAATTTCGGCGTGAAACCCTAAATATACCATAACAAAACTGTAGGGCATTCATTTCTGCACTATACTACTGTGTCTGAGACGACCCATGATAAGGAAACTTGTTAATACACAGTGAGTTAGAGTACATAACACTATACACCAATTTAAAACACCCCACGTCTTAAGTAAGCATTTTTATAAGCTAGATAAAATTCATAACAAAAAGGAGCTTTGGTTTAAACGCTTAGGTTTGTTTTCTTTATACTCCTAAAAACGATTAGGAAAGGTGTCGAATCTAATGAAAACTTTGAAGTCTATTTTGATTCTCTTAAATTAGAAAGCCTAATTTAAGAGAATCAACACAAACTTTAAAGTTTTCATTACAATTTTTTGAAGCATAATTCTAAATTATTTCGGATTTATATGAGGCAAAATGCAAGCTTTAGAAATGTTATATTTTTTATTTCAAGTTAATATAAAATGTCATATTTTTTCCCTTAGCACCTCAGTTGCAGAAGAATAACTGGTACAATTTCTAGATCCGTTTAGTGGCCTTCCTCCAATTTTTTTTGTTCAAAAATCCAGCGCACTGGGGCATTAAAAAGAATGACCTCTTAGCATAGTTGACTATAACTTATATTGTAGTTCAGAAAATCGTAAGTGTATAGCAGTTTCGAGCAACGAAAAGTATAGATGTAAGAGGCCGCACACTAAAGGAGGCGAAATTTAAAAATTCAGTTCAGGTATCTTCCATGGTAAATAATCATCATTTTTCGAAATAATTTTTAGATGACGAGATAGAGCTCGTAAAAAACTTTCTTTAAAAAAATTCAGCACAAAAATATTTTTGAGAAGACTTACGAAGTTAAAACGATTTAATATACTAATTATTTCAATTGAATGTTGAATCTATTTTCCCCTTTTTCTCGAAATGAAAATCGGTCAAGTTGAGCGTACATTTTGAGCCCCAAGTCGGTATCACATAAGCCAATTCGGCTAAAACTTAGCCGATTTACTGTCGGATACGTATTCTAAAAAACTGTGTCAGCGAATTTTGATTTCGTTTCTCGCTTTTAAGGTATAGTATTTTTATATTCAGCATCTTAGCTATATGAATTACTTTATCATGATATCTTTGTTTCAGAGAAAGTATGAGCAAACTTTCGTCAGTACCTGAGCTCAAAACAGCAAGACCTGGATCACAGGGGCCCCAGTTTTCTTGGGAGGAAATTTGCATGTATCTCTACGGACACAAACCTGTGGAGCCCGCGGTTCTTGAAGACCAGCGTAAAGTAGTCAAGCTGGAAGAAAATTGTCAAGGTCTATTCCTTTAAAAATACGTACTATGTATTCTAATTTCTTTTTACCCTTCCTTTTCGTTCTTCTTATTTATTTATTTATTTATTGTTCCCAGTCATCTATAAAAAATCATTTTTTATTCGACGGGATTTTCTCTGCTTATGGATGCAGCAGGTTACACGATATATGCACATATAGCCCCAGAAGAACAGTCTTATTATATTATTTAAACATATTTAAACTCTTGAGTCTTACAAACCAAATAGTTGTGCAGAAAGGTGTCCCAAATTTTCTTTTTCAGGCCATACTTTTTAGCCTTTACGAGGACCACTTTGGGATGTAGCCACACTACAGTTCAATAAGATTTAATCGGTGATTCTGTTTGACATTCACATTACATTCCGGCGAAACATAAACGTTTTTACACATGTCAAATATTTTGCTCTTTACCAGTATCCAGTATTTCTTCCAGGGTTTTTCATTATAACTCGATCAGTCTTCTCCCATTAAGAACATATAACGATGATGTCGTCATAATATTTGGAGTTGAATGGGCAACCAATCAAATCCAAACACTTAACGTAAATCAAGGAGATCTTATGAAAACGGTGATAATTTCCCGTTGCCTGTTCAAAATATAAGCTACTTGTTACTCTCTTAGCAAATCTAAAGCTAATATCTCTACCGTAATCTTCACAAAATCGCCCTTAGTTTCGTTGCACATGAACACCAAAACATGGAATTTGAATTAGTTTATCTTTCATTTTATGTCAGTGGATAGAAAAAGAAAGCGCTGCTCTCTACCAAGTCCATCATTGATATTTCCAGATGAAGTTAGGCTTTGCAAATCGAGTGTCCCTGGAGCTAAATATGGGGTTTGTGCAGCTCAGCCCATACCTCCTGGGACATGGATCGGTCCATATGAAGGCCAGGTTGTCAGGCGAGAGGAACTACGTGAAGGAGTACATAATAGCTTCATGTGGGAGGTAAGGAAATGTTACCTTAAATGCTAATCAGTTATGAACTTTGTTATACACCGCACTAGCTTCTTGAAAGAGAGATTTAGACAATTTCGTTCATGACTAGAAAAGAGACTTTTTGCATTGGGCGAAGCATCTAGGGTAGAAATGGAAAGACATGCCAATGAATTGTGTGACTATTTTCGGTATGACTTTGACCGTTACTTGCATACTCGGTTTGCAAGGTCCGCTTGTTAAAATAGGACAGAAAGACTTCAATTTTCACAGGAAAAAACGCTATGTTCCCCTCCGTCTTCGGAGTCTGCGCAGAGTGACTGCCCGGGCAACCCCCCTTACCCCCACCCTCAAATATAGGCTTGTACTGTAATGTGTTTCTGAGAGCAAAGTTGAGGATGAGCATGACGCATTCCATTAATCGCATCGTCTTAACCTGACAGATATACAAAGACGGCAGGTTTAGTCATTTTATTGATGGCAGTGAAGAATATATGTCAAGCTGGATGAGGTACATTCAGTGCGCCCGTTACAAAGACGAACAAAATATGACTGTGTTTCAGTATTGCGGGAACATTTACTATCGAGCATTCAGACATATTCCAGCTGACCGGGAGCTGCTTGTATGGTATGACGAAAAGTACTCAGAATTCATAGACATCCCTGCGTTATTGAAAGCGAGAACTCTAAAAGGTATGTTTTTTTAATTATTTCTTTGTTTGTTTGTTTGTAGTTTTCCAAATTCAAGATTTTAATTTTTGGATAATAAATGCACGCACCTTTTAATTTACTTTGTCACAGTGTACTCGTCTTTGAGGGAGGTAGGGCCATGCTGTGAGTCCCAGAGTGTACCAGTCCAACCCCTTTCCCCTCCCCACCATCCCAACGTTTTTATTTTTTTCATAGGTAGAGTTGTTTCTATGGTACTAAACATTTTCGAAACATTATACTCCTAGTAAAAATGGATAAAGTTTCAATTTACAAGCAACGTGGAAAATGACGAAACATTGAAATCAGATAACATTTCGGCACATTTGTTCAAACCAAAAAGCTTTAAGGTTCTAGCTTTGCATAGAAATGGTTCCCTAACCTCACGTGTGGAATCACGTGAACTTTAATTAGTTACATGTTATAGACCTGAAGGCAATGAGCGTAACTGCGAGAATGTTACGAATGATATGCAAGTTAAGAATAACGATTATTTGTTGTTGTTAGAACATACAGTTGCCTGGAAACCAACTGGAATGGACGAAGAAATGCTATTCGAAGATTCTCGAGATCAGGTATTGTAGGAAGCTAAATAATCATCGACAAGTATTTTATAATCAATGTCATGAAAGATATTGTTCATCGTGGATAATGCGTAAAATGGGTTTCGTTAATTAATCGTTTGTCTCACGATTGTCACATAGATATTGATCGCGACGTTTCGACCGCGTACTGCAGGTCTTCATCAGGCGATAGTGTCGATTTACTGAGTAGAACAATTTGTACCACCATGGTTGTTATAGTGACCGATGTATTCACAAATCTCGCTCATGGTTGGTGGGTTTCGATCCAAAGCATTTATATATTTTACTATCATGGCTATCATGGCTATCTCACATCACAATCAACTTTATAACAGAGAAGTTTCATCTCTTAAATATGTTTTGCATATCTTGCTATTCGTTTCATTTAGGAAAACAATTTAACATATTAGAGCTCTGTTCGTCTCTTCTTAAGGACTATGATGAACCGGAGAGTTCCTTGGATCCTTTTGGGCTGGGACTCAAGGATCACGGAGATGCCCATATTTGGAAATGTGGCCAGTGCTCGCAAACGTTTTCTCAACGTGTTCTTCTTCAGATGCACGTTTGTCCACAGGTAAGCCTTTCCGGTACCTAACAAAACCTAATGTTAACCAATCATCTTTTCATTTTGTTTTTCTGTTGTCGTCTCTGGAGCACTGGACGTTACTATCAGAATCTCACTCATTCTTAATGTATTTGTGCAACACAGCTTAAGAAATAATTCATGTAAAAAATGATTTAATTTGTAATTGGACTGATTGATGAAAAACCGTTGTAGCATTCTGCATGAATTCCAAAATATCTATGGTTTTATGAAATTAATCAAATGTTAGAATAAAGAAAATATGCTGATAATAATTTGGCATTATTATTCTTATTGGAACGATATGAAACACAGTCAACTTGTTTTGAATCGTAACGGGGACGGGATATTTCAGTGAGCGTGGTATGCGCAGTTTTTTTAATCTAAAAAACACGAACGTACTCTAAATTAAAACTCTAACTCACACTCAATCTTGCCCTTGTAGTCCGGTTATAACCTCCATTTACACCACAAAGGCGGATCTTCCACAGCTCCCATGAAAAAAGGGGCAACCTGCGGAAACAGCACTGTCCTATTTTGTACCAACTGTGCATTTTGTTCTTGGTTGCAGTCCCCTGATCGTCCATACCAATGCGGGCATTGTCCTTCCTCGTTCCCAGGGCCAGCCGAGCTGAGAGAACACGTAGTTATTCACATCAATGAGAAGCCATTCAAATGCGGTTTCTGCGGGCGCTCTTTCGCTGGCGCTACAACTCTGAACAATCACATTCGCACCCATACCGGGGAGAAACCATTCAAGTGCGAAAAGTGTCATAAGACATTCTCTCAATCCACTCAACTAAGTAGGCATCAAAAGTGCCCAGAGGAATGCCTGAAAGATGTGAACAAGGACAGAAAGTTAACATAGTGTGGCAAATAATGAGAATCTGGAAGCTCTTGAGGTGATAGCCAAGGAAGAGAGAAGACCTTCATGATCGAAGCACTCGGCCTTGGCCCTGCGGTCCAGAACCAAATACTAGGAATCCTGACTGCAAAGAACTACACAACTGCGGGTTTACAGCAAGCCTTTTGAAGAATCTCATGGAAATATTGGCATTAATATGGTTTAATTTGTAGCAACGAACGAATATTTTCCTTTCCTTTTTTTTACACAGACAGAATAAAGAAGAAAAACAACGCCAATTTCGGCCTGGAAAGATTGAAAGAAAAGTTGTAAAGTTAGATCGTAGTCGGTTAACCACTTAAACATGCCCTTGCAAATAAATAGGTGTGTCTTTCATTTCGAAATTAGCAATGAGAGTAGGTCTAAGAGTAGGGTAGGTTTAAGAGTCGAACCTAACCTTTATGCCATTATAGGTTAGCCTGGTTGGCCGTATTATTAATGCATTGCGTTACATGATGCTAGGCTTTTTAAAGGTCCCGTTCAGAAATATCCAGCCTTAGTCTGACACCAACCTATCTTTTGAATGCGCAATTGCACATTTTCAATGTTTAAAAAATTTTATTGTATACTATCTCTTTTGCTCAGCTAGGCATTCAAGGGGCGTATAGAGAAAGTTCAAGGAGAGCGTGGTCTCTGGATCAAAATGAACAAACCTTTTTAGGTGTAATGTTTGTTTTAAGTTAGTGATACACTGTCCCATCCTATGACCTACATGTATAATCATTTTTACTAAATTTTCAACCTCAGATAATGCATTTCTGATTGGTTCTCTTAGTCACGGTTATCAGCTCATATACCTTAATAGTTTGACCTTATATGGAAAACAACAAACTTTCGCTCGAACAAAGAGGCGGAAAAAAGTAGATTTCGCGAGCTTTCTACCGACGAAATAAAAGAAAAAAAAAAACAGAAAATTCCATACCGGCAGCGACACAACAGTCACACACTTTGGTTTGAAATTATTTAATGGTACTCCGAAGTTTCCTTACAATTTAAAGAAATTATAACTAAAGGTTAGCTTACTGAAAGTAATTCCTCCGTACATCGAGCTGATTATGTAACAACAACAACAAAGTTTACTTTAAATTTTTCAGAATGGCTTACAAATCCTTGCAGGAATAAGTTTTCAAAACCATTAGCAGTTTTTTTCGTGTTTGAGGAGCTTTTACACCTGTTAACACTTTTGCAAGTTCATAACGGACCATAAATTAACAGGCCTCAATTGAATCTTAAAACGAGCGGCTGTCCATTGAACAACAACAACAAATTGATTATAAAAGCTGGGTCTTTGTGCAACTCCGATTCAGTGGATGAAGAAAACGAAATCGAAGAGCAAACAGGTCGACCTGTCCAGCGTCAAATTCCACTGTCACCGCAAGGGAAAGCGAAGACAGTACTTGTCGAGAATAATTTAACCACAGCGTCCTTCCATTTCAGATTCTTCCTTTAAACTACGTTCGCAAACGGCGCACTTGCCATGTGATTTTCCCTTGGTTTGCCGAAAGTTACATTAATATCCGGTCGTTTTGTACTATTCAAAATGAACTTTACTAAAATTCAGTTGTAATAACCAGACGTTTAGAGTTTAAAAAAATTTAATAAAACAATTATTCCACTCCCGCTTGGTGGATATGAGATAGTTATAGCCAACTAGGCGCTATGCGTCTCGTTGGCTACCCACCATCTCATATCCAACTCGTGCTCATGGAATAATTGTTAAATAGTCCAGATACTCTACGACTGAGCTACAAAGAAGCTTTGGCCACCAAACTTGTGTGGATTTGCAATCACTGTTTGTTTCTGAACTTTTCAAAATCTTTCCTGTTAAAGGACTCTTTTTAAGTGACTCTCTCTAATAGAACAGGGACACCAGGCCACCTTTCCACTTGTCAAGTTTAACTAGCAGTGCACCTCGATCCAGGGAGGAAGCCCGCGAAAAGGAGGCAGAAAGTTATTTTATTAAATTGCAGCGGTCTCAAGGGCTCAGTCAAAAGGTCTGAGATCCACTCCACATTGAGCTACACCATCCGGATATCACATTGGGGTGTGTCTAGACTCCTCGCTGATATCCCGACCTATTCAATTTTCTTCCTGTGCTTCAACATATACTATATCGTCCCACAACACGAGATTGTCCCTCTTTTTAATTGCCGGACGATGGTCTTGGCAAGCTTTGTAGCATTTGACCTGGTTTCCCGGCCCCCACTTTTCCGGGTTGGGAAATCAGCTACCTGCGATCGCCAACAAGTTTGGCTTAACCTAGCACTTGAAAACTCCAACACGTCATGTCTCTCGGAGATCGCTAGATCTTTCATTTTCTACCAACAGCAGTCTCATCCACGTTCTTCACATCGTCCTAGGCATCAATGACCATGACCCTATTCTCTTCGGCTTAAGAACTGCCTCCAAGGTTTATGAATTTAGTTTATCAATCAATAAGGGGAATTTTAAAGGCTTTCCTACCCACTAGTTGTCGTTTAGTGACTACTAGCTCGCGTCAAGCCCCAGAAGAAGGCCTGTCAAAGAAAATAGGCCAAACACCTCTACGTTTACTTCATCAAAAATGACAAAATCAAAGCGCCACCTTCCATGGATAGTCAAGCAATCAAAGATTAATGGACAAGCCTGACTAAGCGTGCAAGATCTAAACGATCTGTCAAAGCTCAGCACTCAAGTGCCTATAAAAATTTACATAATAGCACGGTATCATGGCTGGTATCTTACCGCCTTCTAACGGCAGTACCAGTGTCAGCATAAAGAGAGCGAGATCGTATGTCAGGCTGTTTCTGTCGGCGTCTAGGGAGGGGTATTCCAGGCCTGGCTTTTTTTGAAAAATCAAGTATGGGGAAACGGCATGTCAAAAGCCGAACCCAGAGACGAGAGTCTATTTACCCGGGAAGTAAACAATGTTCCCGTTCTCCCTAAATCTCCCTATAGGAATATCCCGCCCATGGTATTCAAAGTCCATTTATTTAGGTCTAAAAAAAGCTTGTGGACCTGATAAATTTCCTGCTCGCTCTATTTATGAGTCTTCATTAGAGTTGGCCCTTCTTTTCGCTTGCTTCGCCAGCAATTATTTGATGAAGACGCCTTTCCCTCTGCCTGGAAAGAACGCGAGCATCTCTGCCATCTTGAAATAGGGGGCATTCCTCGGACCCAAAAATCAAAGGGCTGTGTCTATAACATCTGTTTTTGTAAACTTATTTGGCAAGAAAATTGCAACCATCTTAGCGGAAATTCAGTCATCTTTCCAGCAACAGCACGGCTTCCAAAGAGGACTTTCGTGTAGGACCTAGCTTGATATGGTCATTCATGAAGGACATCGATGGTTAAGTCGATGTGATCTCCGTCTGGCATCTTATCCAAAGTGGTATAGAAAAGTTTATAATGGTACATGTATATGCTAAGGAATCCGGGATGGCAAACGGAGACTTAAACGGTCGGTTGTTTAAACGACATCTAACTTAGGCCGCGGTTTAAGAAATCATTGGACCTCCAGATCTCTTTCTTAGTGGGTTAATTGAAGAAAATAAGTGCGTTTCCAGTCTACGCTATATACTTTTTTGAAATTGTTAACGAGAAATGGTGTTCAGATAAAAGCATTGGGCAAACTGAAAATGGCTTAGAACGCGGTTTTGTTAAACACGGGCTAAACCTCGTTAAAAAAAAAACTGGGCCAAACTTTTCTCACTAAAATACAAAGACATCAAGCATTTCTTACAGAAAGAAAAGAAAAAGCATCATCGATTTGGGGTGATTACTGACTGGAGTAGTGCTGACGTTTGGCCCGCCATTTTTTTCAAGTTGCTCGTCATCATTTACATGCTGATAATCCCACTGAAGACACCCACATTTAATGTAGGTAGAGAAGCAAAGAAATTGGTAAATGGTGTCTTTTTGTTGGGAAGTTGATCATAGGCTAATGCGTGTCACATTGCACGCTGGAGACGAATCATTTCTATTTGCCGACCAATATTGACAACTTTGTTTCATCTTTTTTGTTACATGTCATATGTGACACGATAACGTTATGGGGCTAGCTGCTGAGGGCCTCAACTTTGTCAGTGTTTTAATTTTCACTTAGCTTCCCGTGATATTGTCACAACTAAAGCTTATAACTTAACATGACTCATAAACAAAGTAAATTCGACAGAACTTTTCTCAGATGAAAAGCCAGTGCCTTGTGAAGTCCACTAAACGTTGATCGGTCATCAGGTTTCCGTCCAATAAGGCCTGTTGACGATGGGGAATGGATAGACATTTGACCCAAACGGATTAATCATAAAGTTTTAGTACGCAATATTTATACTGACACAACTTGAAACTCACTTTTTGGATCTTTCTACAGTAATACACCACTCAATTAGAAGCAAAAACAGCTTAACTACTAAAAAACCTGAACGGATATACTTTACGTGGTTCTCTTAGAGATGCAAATTGGGAAATTAACGTATTTGACAAGGCATAACTTTTTTAGACAATTGAGTTAAGTATTTTATTATTTTAAAATATATATTAGTGATAATGATCATTAGCATTTCTTTAAATGATCAATCAAGCAAACCAATCACGGTCGCCTGTCTATCGATCACTAGAATTTGGCTTTGTAAAAATCTAAATTGCACACGCAGAAGCAGATATGACGATGAAAGTTGACTGCATCTTCCTTCTTTTTGTCGCTTTGCTACCAACACTGCTACACTTAGCATCAGGTGAGTTGAATTAATATGAAATTTCATAAGTATTTTACCGAAACTTGAAGTTTTACATGACATAAATGATATCAACACACAACACAGTTAATTTAACTAAATTCCGGGTTTTGTTACCAAGGCTTTTCAAGGTTTCCTTGACATGTAATAGGCCTTGTTTTGATCTATTTAATGCGTACTGTAAAATACATATATGCAGCCCTTTTGCGTATTCTTCAGTAAAAGTTAGCAAGAAACGATTGCACGAGGATTCAAACTGCTTATTAGTCGTCATTACATGGTGTATTGACTTTTATAACACGGTTGGCGACATGATATCAACTTAAAAGTACAACAGCTTATATTTAGTTAGGGAACCAGCACACGTGAAGTTCTACATGTACGTAGACATGAGATAAATTTCAATTTTAAATTTTCTGTCCTTTTTAAGATTGGGAACAGCACAAGACAAAACTACATAAACAGACGCTGATTTGCATCAGTGTGACGTAATTAAAACGTTAAATCATAATTTATCATTATTAGTTAGAAAAACCTAATCATTTATCTTTTACAAGTTCTTAACTTTATATTTATCTTCTTTTCGTGAAAGAGCACTTCAGAATTTGAAAGCCTTCATGCTGCACCACACTTAATTGAAAATGGCTGCTGAGAAAGACGTCAAGAGAAAACAGTAAAAAAAATTGCCTTACCTATTGAGTTTCTGCTATCTGAAAACTCCTATGTCAGAAAAAGTATTGATGTTAACGTTGACCAGTTCTGGAAGGATTTATTTTCGCGTTCATAGCAAAATCAATGACACATGTCTGTTTTAGTTTCCGGCCGCCCTTTTGGAGACCCTAGGAGGTACCCGACTTCAGCATGACGTCAATACAAAGCTCTAGACTTTGGCTTCAACCACAAGCAGCCCAAGCTCGAAATGTGAGCATCGGTGAACATCGACATTGTTGCGTAACATTCGAAATATAAGGATTTGTATGGGAAAAAACCTATCGTTTCTGTAACTTACGAAAATGAAAGGATTTCAATAAAAAAACAGCTTACCCCACTTAAAATGTGTGCTACGTCTCTCCTGTGTAGTCCACGGGTCGATTTATGGCTCAAATTACTCACACTCGGGGTGGGAGACAGTCTCTTGTTCCCGTTGTTTTCTTTCTCGGGTATTGATGTCAACGGGAGCAAGAAACTGTCTCCCACCCCGAGTGTCAGTGAGTAATTTGAGCCATAAATCGGCCCGTGGACCACCCAGGAGAGACGTAACACACATTTTAAGTAAGGTAAGCTGTTTTTTTTATTGAAATCCTTTCATTTTCGTGGGTTACAGAAACGATAGGTTTTTCCCCATACAAATCGTTATATTTCGAATGTTACGCAACAATACCGATGTTCGCCGATGCTCATATTTCGAGCTTGGGCTACCTGTGCTTCAACACGTCTTTAAATATCTCTCGCGCACGAAAAAACGCATCGACCTGAATCTCAGCTAGATTGTTTGGATATTTATCTTCTTCCATCGATATTTTTTAGTAAAGTGAATGAAAAAAGGTATATATTGTGTTTTTCCTGCGAAAAGATTTAGAAATTTTTGGCAAATTTGCAACAAAACCTACTATTCCAAATATGCGAATCGTCAAACAAATGCTAGCCAACCTTGTCCCCAAAGCTTTTCCCACTTTTTCAGAGATGAAATGGAGCCTCTCCATCATTTACACAAACACAGAACAAAGGAATGTTTCTTTATATTCCCATCATGTGGACGAGTACAAATTATATTGAAAATGGGAAAAACCTCGACACGAGCGAATAAAAGAGGACTTTTAATCTATTTCATGCAAATACATCAAAAACGAAAATACACGAGAAATTATGCGTGAATTATTTTGGCATGAAAAAGAAGAAAATTTACAAAGGCATTTATTTTCATCGTTCGCGTCATTATAGTTTTCAGAAAATGGCAAATATCTCAGTTTCACTCTCATTTCGCCTCGTACGAGCAACGCCTTGCTGCCCAAATAACACTTTGGAAAACGAAAAAAATTTGCGACTACCCTGCAACCCCAGATAGCCCCGTTTTAAAGAAATCGTTAATATAAGGTTTGGGTTAGACCACCGAGAATTAAAAAAAAAAGATTACGCAAAACAAGAAACGCAATGTGGTGTACTTCAAGGGTCCCTTTTTGACCCGCTTCTTCTTTGATTTATATCAATGACATTAGTGACTCTTCCAGTATCAGTTTTGCCCTTTTGCGGATAACACTTATAGTCGTTCTATAGTAACAAAGATTTGTTAAGTTTTGTTGCAGGAGGGATAAGCTATCTCTATTGTTTTCATGTGTTTGTCTGTGACCGATTCATCAATGGCAGTGTGACGTCACAGAGTAAAGGGCGAGAGCTTCGGATCGCTTGTGCAAATTTGTAAGGGACACCATAGTCATTCGAACAAGAGAGGTCGAGGAAGAGATAAAAAGTTATGCAAATATTGCTATACATCGCTAATTTGATCATAAGTGAGTGAGTCTTGTTGTTGCTTTTATCTGTGTAAACCGTCGTATTTTGTGTCCGCATGTGTCGCGGTCCTTGTTGCAGGATTGCCATCTCCTTTACGGGACCAGCAGGGTCATAAAAAGTTAGTTCCTTTTTTTCTCTAAAATAGGCAATTGCAACGTCTAGTCTCCAGAATAGGAGGTTCGATTCAGACGTCACACTCGTATATTCCATATATTATTTCGCTGATTAAATCGACTGTGCTTCATATCAATCCCTTCGAATTTGGGCTTCTGTTTATTTCTTAATTATCCACCAAATCCAGTACTGCTAGTTTGATCAATTTTCTACATCGATCGACCCTTTGAACCCAAAATAATGCGAAATAGCTTTGACATACCTGCTTAAGCTAATTTTTCCTCAAATGTATCTTTGAATTCATGACAAATACAACTCCACAAGCCTTCAAACAGCGTCTATGGAAGTGAAAAACTGGTTTTAAAATAACAAATTTACTTCACCGAAAACTGAGTGGAACCGTGGTGCAGTGGTCAAGGAGTTGCTTGCACGTGCAGATGAACTAGGTTCGCTCCCGGCGAAGCTGTTTTCTGTTTCTTTTTTGTACATTAATTTTTCTGTTTACTTTTTATTTTTAATGCCGTTTTTTCCCTTTCGCTTGTTTCACTTGATTCTTTTTGCTGACTCTTTCCCGCTTTGCGAGGATTTTGCGATAACGTATTCTAGTAACTTGTTTGTGTGTGTGCGTGTGTGCCTGTGTGGTACAGCGTAAAAGCCCTATAATTAAGTCCTCTACTCAAGTAAATTCTTAAGAGTATAACTTTATAATCCTCCATCCTCCTCCGGATGAAAATGTTATTCCACATTTTTTGATAATAACTCTCAACAATGGGTATCTCTAAAGCGTAAAGAGAGCGAAAGATTTCGTATTATATATTAATCGATACGCATCATCAAATTGATAAATAGCAAAAACCTTTGGGATAATTTCTGCACTCACAATGTTGCAGTATAACAAGTATTTTTACTATGTTAATCATTGATTTTTTTCCACGTATTTGAATGACGCATAGTTTTTCTTGGGGTGGTGCTGCGAAAGAAGGAGGGGGGCTTAATAAAGAGGGGAAGGGCTTAATAGAGGAAGTGAACTCCTCCGCCCACCAAAGACTCACAAGAGTCTGGAGTGAAACCTTTGGAAAAGTGCGAGCACTTCCCTCGACACCTCAAGACGGACTGAAGAGCTTTGGATGGTGCGAGTGGCACAGGAACTTCATTCGAGTTAGTGGCACGAACACCGGGGGATGGTATGTGGATGAACCAACTTGATGTCAATGGACGGTGTCACTGGGCTTTAATTGTTACTCATTACCGCATGAGGGGAAACTTCCAGGATTTCCAGATTTTTTCTTACTAGGATCTGCAAATCAGTTCTGAAAGGGCTTCATAATTATGCATGCACAAACTCTTGTTCCACGTTCCTGAAAAAGACCCAAACCTTTAACATGTGTTAAACCATCGTCGAAGCGAAATTTAGTTACACCTTGCTTGCGAAATTTCGTCGACATTAAAACAATAGATGAACCGAAATTTCGCCGCCTTTTCGTCTGAAACGAAAGCTGGCAATTTGTTCGCCTAATTTCGCGGATTTCGGCGAAATTCGCTTCTTCTTTTGCACAGTACTGTGCCTGAAACATAAGGAAATTATAATTGATGGCTCGGCTCAAATTTTCCCTAGAGAGTATTAATGACGACCAAAAGACTATGAATTCTGAACAAGTCAACTTAAAAATAATCGACAGGAAGGAAAATCCCGACTACGACTCTTCTTTTTTTTCTAATGTTGTTGTGTTGTTAAAGAAAACACTTCTCCATTTTTTCTACAGGGGATTGTGTTAATTTGGATCTCGGTATGGAGAGTGGAGCAATTACCGATGACAAGATATCGGCTTCTTCTAAAGTTAATACAGGTACACCAGCCAAGAATGGTCGGTTGAACTACGTATATGGGTCATCATGGTGTGCTTCGCCAAGTGATAAAAATCCGTATCTTGAGATCGATCTAGAGGTAACTCATATCATCTGTGCCGTGTCTACTCAAGGAAATTCTCGAGCAGACGAATGGGTTAAGACCTACACGCTACAATTTTATACAGGGGGAGCGTGGACAAATTATGAAGAGGATGGGCAAGTGAAGGTAAGCCCTAAATTGTGTCTCTTTTTCTGTTTCCAAAAAATCCCACTTAACTCGGCTATTTTTAAGACTCTGTACCATACTCTTTTTTTACTTACAGCAATAATTTGTAACCTAAACTCCTTGAGAAAAAACATGTTCACGTTCGTCAGAACGCATCCTAATCTGGTGTTCCTGTGGCACTAACGCAGAAATTTTCTTGCAATCACGGGCGACTGCATGTAAATTAGCCGCCCCTATTAATTTTATCAAGGGCACCTCTGCCGGGAAACTGGACTCTTTTCCACTCGATTTCGTTTCCTTAATTTTTCCGTAAGTGACGAATGAATGAAGAATAAAGATGTATAAACATTTGCAGATATGATTTGCCTTTGTAATGCATTCAGATATTTGCGGGAAATACAGACAGGAACATTGAAAAGAAAAACATTCTTTTTGATGGGATGTTAACGAGATTGCTGCGATTCGTGGGGACAAGTAGCCATAACAGGTTTTGTTTGAGGGCTGAAGTGTATGGAGTCAAGTTCAAACCAGGTACGTTCACATGTGAGTTTAAAACCGTCGGCGATGGCGGTGAAAAATTCCATAAGAAGGGGAATTTCAAACATCGCACGTCGCTACTATTTTCACTCGCTCATTTTATTTAACGTAAGCGAATTTCTTTGAGTCGAGTTCCTAAGAACCGTTTCCAAGCTCAGAAAAGAGAACCGTGAGAGGTTCTTCTTCGTTTGTTTACGCCCTACATAAAACGTGAAATATAAAAAAAAGGTTTCAATCTACGGGTTTCTATGGGCAATGGAGGCTCCTAGTTATTGGCTCCTAGTTCCCTTAAAACTAATATATAGATTTAGCCTGGGCTAAAAGCGAAGCTCTCGATAAAATTTATAGTTTGCTCAAACAAAATATAAGAAACAACAATAGGGCCATATATACGAGGAAAAATAAGACACGAACTGTACCATTTATACGAGCATGTCTTATCTAAGACGAGAACAGCTCGTATAAATGGTTCTCGTCCTATTTCTGTTCTTGACTCGTTTTCATGTGAATGTCGCCCGTAGCAACAGCAATCCAACGTGGCGCGCCAAAAATTAACGCATGCGTACTATGTGTTCGCGTCTTATGTAAGACGCGAAGGTTTTTTCTCGTCTTAGCTAAGACGCGTCTTATCATCTAAGAACAGGTGTTAAGGGTTGTTCTAAAATAAGACGCGGCTTAACTAAGCCGCGTCTTATTTTGGACGAAATGTGCCGTTTATACGGAACGTTCGCGTCTTATTTAAGACGCGTCCTATGTAAGACGCGTCTTATTTTTCCACGTATAAATGGCCCTACAGGTCTAATTAGCAAAAAACCAACTTTGCACGTGCAGCACACTTTTTTTGAACATTTCATTGCCGTTTTTTTGCACGACCACAACGTGAAACTTGTAGAAACTTCCTAGTTACACGTTTTATGGAGGAAGTGTCGTACCTGTTGTTGTTCACTTTTTTTCACTCGCTCATTTTCACCTTGGTGGCCGCCAGGATTTCTCATTTTCTCACCGCCGCTAAAAAAATCTCATGTTATTTTTCCAACAAATAGCTCTTTATCTTCCCCTCTAGCTCTGACAGCTCTATGTCGCTCTTTTTCTCGTCGAGCTTCGCTGGCATGTCGCCCAATATATTTTTCTCAATATTTTAAATTTGTGAACATGACAATTAATCTAATTAATCTTAGACAACAAGGATACAGAAACAATTTCCGCTTTCCGTTTTTGTCTTTATTGACTCTTTAGTTGCCTCTGCTTCAAAAGACGCGGGTGGCTATGGGATTTCCCGCCCCCCAAAAATAAGCTCGAGTTGTATTTGGGTTGCCATACCTGTTGGTTTAGTTATTTTACATGGGTATGCCTGCGATGCGGACGGACGGTCGGTCGGGCATACGGTCACGTGATTACCAAAAGTTCTCGGATGGGTAGATTACCAAATTTTCTTACCCATGGTGCTCCGGTTCGCGCGCGTTGAGCTCCGCTATAAAGTAATCATGTTTTTTGACAAATTTAATCTATGAAATACGATATTGCGTATCTTCAATGAAATTGCTTTTACAATTGTTGTATTTTAACTATAACCACATTCATTCAGTCAGTAAGTTAACATTAAAAACGTCTTTTGCCAAGAGAGGAGAGTAACTGCCCCCCAACCCCCACCCCCCGGGAGGAAAGTACTATCATCTTGGGCTAAATAAAGCCCAAGCTCGAAATATGAGCATTGGCGAACATCGGCATTGTTTCGTAACATTCGAAATATAAGGATTTATATGGGAAAAAACCCTATCGTTTCTGTACCCTGCGAAAATGAAAGGATTTCAATAAAAACACAGCTTACCTTATACAAAATCTGTGTTACGTCTCTCCTGGGTGGTCCATGGGCCGATTTTTATGGCTTATACCGTAAACGGTGTTCTCTTTATATAAAGGTTTACCAAGGTTGAGGATTCCAGGGAAGCTGCCGGACGGATCCACCGAAGGAAAACGGTCGTAAATTTACTCCAACGGCTCCAGTCGCCTCTAAATTCCGCCTAGGTAACACACGATAGTTCTCCTTTCCATTCGTTATCTTGCTTCCAGACGCCTTTGCACCGAGAGCGAATCCGGGGACGCAAGACTCAAATTACTCACACTCGGGCTGGGAGACAGTCTCTTGCTCCCGTTGACATCAATACCCGAGAAAGAAAACAAAGGGAGCAAGAGACTGTCTCCCACCCCGAGTGTGAGTAATTTGAGTCTCAGGCCGTGTCGCTATCTTTCAACGGTAACGCAGAGTTCAAACCAAGGTTCTGTCGATGGCTTCAGACGGGAAAGGCCGTAGCCTCCCCGCAGACGTCCTTTGGGGTTCGTTCGTCACGCATTCATTTCTCCGCCACGGTCCGTGAGGGAGGAATGAATGCGTGACGAACGAACTCCAAAGGACGTCTGCGGGGAGGCTAGAAATGTTGCAGAGATTGACGATCTTTGATTCGCTCTCGGTGTAAAGGCATCTTGAAGCAAGATCACGACTGGAAAGAAGATCTATCGCGTGTTACCTAGTAGTCAGAATTTGGAGGCGACTGGAGCCGTTGGAGCGAATTTATCGCCGTTTTCCGGGCTTCGATGGATCCGTCGGACCGCTTCGCTTCAGTCCCCAACGTTGGTAAACCTTTATACTGAGAGACAACCGTTTACAGTACAACCCATGAAACGACCATAAATCAGCCCATGGACCAAGACAAGCTGTTTTTTTATTGAAGTCCTTTCATTTCGTAGGAGGCGATAGGTTTCTTTCCATACAAATCCTTATATTTCGAATGTTATGCAACAATGTCGATGCTCGCAATGGTTATATTTCGAGCTTGGGTCTCCTGTGGTGCCGCTGTGAAGGGTATGGTTATGGTTTTCAAGCATTTTAGTCTGGGATAGAGTATAAAACTCGGAGAGGCTGGGACTAGAAAAGGGTATCATTTTTCGGGAAAATGATCAATTGGTTGAGAATATTAGTCTAGATTAGGGAAACCGGGAATTAAAAGTCAAACAAATGAAATCGGCGATTTAAATTTACATGCAACTCAATCTAATAGCAAAAAAAGCGACGACCTTTGTATTTTCTGCGAAAAAGTGACTCTAGGATAGCGAGAGATTTTGGGAGTTAACTCTAGGATAGGGTGGCAAAATTCAGCCGAACTAGGTCTGGATAGACTAATAGTCCGAAGTCCCAGCGCATATCCCTACCCAATTAATTTCTAAAGTACCCATCCCCCCTTCCCTCGTTGAGAGTGTAGAGCAGCTCGTAAGGTCCCTCCTAATTAGTCGCCGGAAACAATGACATGTCATTCTTCCAATGGTTTTAATATTGTTTGGGGTCAGAGAATCGCACCATTGGTGACTTCATTTATCCTGGTTAGTGCTTAATGTATATTTCTTAACACAGAGAATATTGCTGCTGGTAAGCTGACAAACCAATCCTCTACCTACAAGGACAAAAGTGCCAGTGGTGAATCGTCTAAAGCAGTGGATGGGAATTCCGACACTCATTTCCCCAATGGACACTGTTCCCATACTCTGACTGATAACCCCAGTTGGTGGAGTGTGGATCTGGGCACAGATCACGCACCAGTCTTTGAAGTGCGTATAGTTAACAGGTTTTCAACAAGCGACAATATACGACAAAGAAATAACGGTTATAAAATAACACTGGGTGAGTGATTTCCAACTTGTTTATCCATGAATAGTAGGCCAATATTGAAGAGATATTCGCAATGTGGATTGCAAGGACGAATAACCACAGGATTATATAGCCGATAAACAATAGAGAATGAGCTAGCTACAGTGAGGGGGAGGGGAAAGGGGCTCCTGACAAATAGCAAATAGCAGCTATTCTAGACACCAAATCCTCTCATCATCGTCAGGTCGAGCTATCTCAGACACTCTGAATTGTCTATTTCCCAGCAACACTTTCCTTTCAAGGACATATTATTTTTTCCAAATCTCTCAGCCAGCAAAGATTTGTCTGAAGAGCAGATATTTTGACGAACAGATCCATTGGGTGCCCTGTGACATATTTGGAAACATTCGGTCGTTGGGTGCCCCCGCTTCGTCGTGTAAGCGTTCCGTGTATATTTAACAAGTAATGAATAGGGCTGAGTATCTTATGAAGAACTATGGAGATCGAGGAGGAGGCCGTCGAGGCCGTAGGCCGAGGCGGATAACACCCTCCGTGATCTCCATAACTCTTCATATGATACAAAAGCCGAATTCAATAATTGTTTTATTATTCATTCAAAATAACTCCGAGTTTAAAAACATAGCTAAAACAAGCTTACCTGCATCGATGTTAAGTTTATCTTCGATAGTTTACATTTAGGTTTGTCCAGCTCCGCAAATATTCTCCAAATAGCAGATGTCGTCCCCCGAGTTGCCTTCTTGCTGTTTTTGCTACGTTTTTGGCCATTATTTCGCCTAGTTCCAGCTGCAGTTCTTACTCTTGAAACGAGTGAAGTGTCCGCCATTTTAGTTTTTACAACAAAACAACTCAATCTCGTCCCCAGGTGTTCTCGGTTAACGCTACATTAACCTGTAAAAAGATGCTGTTTTGACGTCATTTCCGTGTTAAACAAAAATTCTTCTAAATTTGGTCATCAAAACAGGGGTCTTTTTTGCATGAGCATGCGCGACCGCTGAACAAGCGATGTGCATGGAGGCTCACCACAGGGTTTGCCTTCATCAAAATGGCGCGTCTCAAAGCTATCATAGCGATTATTTTGCTCGTTGGTCTTGGCGAATGTGCTCGTGCTTTAACAAAATGTGTAGTTTGCAAAAAAAACTCTAACATGGTCTTAACAAAAGCGAAGTAGACCGGCTTTAACATACACGAGCTACTATCAAATTTCATCTCCCCACTTGTCCTGGACAACAGCGCGTGTATATGTAGTGCCTGGAGGATTGCGCTGACCTCATCAAAGTCTAAACAAAGTGCAGAAACGTTTTTTGATGCAAGTAAACAGTTTCAATTTTCTTTGTTTTGAAATCGGAAAGGAAGAGAAATATTTAAAAAAAAACATAGCAAATTTCAGCGAGTGGGTTCGAAGTGCGCGAAAGCCGATGTTCAGTTCGGAAATTGAATTAATATATGTTCTACAATTTTCCCAGCACTTTAAAGCTACAAGATTAAGAGCACACGAGACGTAGATTAGTCACCTGGTGAGATGTTGGTGGTAGTCACTCTGTATGTCTCGAACAATAAAAAATATGAATATCAATGAGACACAGTCAAAACTGCATTCAATAGGACCGAAATTAAAGTCCAATCTTGTGACCGATTTTGATGAAACAAACGGTTGGGTTTCCCAAGAAGTACAGTAAACATGTGATGCCGACCAAAAGTTAAAAATCATCAGAACATTTAAGTTCTGGCTAGAAGCAAATTCCTGTAAAGATGCGTTACAATGTTAGTCCACGCAAAAACAAGAAGTTCTACAATTTTCCTATAAACAAACTTTGTATCGCTAAAATACTTATGGCAAAAACGTTCTATTCCAACTGAAAACGGCGTGGTAGTCGCCCGCCTATCGTTATTAATCCACTCCCGAAATATGGCTAAATCAGCTATTAACAAATAATTGACAGAAATCCTCTACGGCATCGAGAAACTGATTTACATCCGATTTATAGACAAACACTAAATAAAGAACATTTTGCTCAGTAGCTACGCATCAGCAATGCATTCTATGCCAAACTTTGCGGTTCTTAAAGGGGAATCAAGACACGAGTCGAGCGCCAAACAACAACAAGCAGCCATGTTCGTGTCAGACATCCTTGAGAAACTTGCTCTTTCACCTCGTTCAGCGCATCAGTCTCCACTTTAAATCAACAGATCTTTACTTATTTTGTACAACGAAAGTCTTTCCTAAGTTCCTGCTACCATTTCAATCTCAAGCAAGCTTTCAAAGTGAACAATTTGGTTCCTATGACTATGCAGCACGGTCGATGTCACTGGTCGCGTGCTCTTTGACAAGTCAGCGGTCGCGCATGCTCATGCAAAAAAGACCCCTGTTGGTCATCAGTGACTGCTTATAATGAATTATGCGTGTGCTTTCAGCCACGGGAAAAAACTGCCACCAATGATAAGCGTCGAATTCTGCATTCTTGTAATATAAGGAATTAAAACTACGTAGTTATTCATATCATACTTTTGCTAATTCAGTCGACACGGCTAAAGAGGTTTACTTTTTTTCCTTACATTTAATTATAGGTGACAGTTCAACTGTGACGAGTAATTCCGAGTGCATTGGGCGCTACAGTTTTATTCACTTTATAGCATCAGCTGTTTGCTATAATAACCCTCTTAAGACTGGAAGATATGTTGGTATCATGACCACAAAACAACAGTTACTACAACTGTGTGAGGTGGAAATTTACTCAAGAGGTTTGTTAACAGACCAAGGAGCCAGTATGTGGCAGCTTTTATGTAATAATATCATGACAATTACCCTTTGCAATACCTACAATGAGGTCTCTTTGTGAAACGAGTGCAACATTTGCATTGAGGGCTGAAAAAATTGTTATATAAAGGACCCAAACAAAGCACCTTTCCCCAAACGAATAGAAGATACAAGTTATGGGTACCAACAGAATAGAGGTCTAGACCACACAGGAAAATGCCTTAAGCAAAAGTACATTCAATTCTCTCATGTTCTCAAAATCTTTTTTCTATCTCTCCTCATCAACATTGTCGAAAGAGAAGGTTTTAACCAAAAATATCATGTACTTTTCCTTTATTAGAACTGTTTCTGTATATTTTTTCTTCTTTCCCAATCTGAAATAGCTGATTGGAAATTAAATCAAAAGAACATCAGGAAACTGAAAGGGGCCTCCATAGAAGGAAAACAAAACTACTCCGGTTACGCTGAAATTACCAATAGACGAGGTGGCCGAGTGGTTAAGGCGTTGGACTGCTAATCCAATGTGCTCTGCACGCGTGGGTTCGAATCCCATCCTCGTCGACCCTTTTTTAGTTTGCTGTTTAAGTACCCTTGTAAGAAGCCTTGTTTCCTGATGTTTAATATTTTTACTACTTCCTTCGGGCGAATGTTCCATAAACAACCTAGTAAATAAGTGAGTGTTATCGGCCTGAAGATAAGGGTTCTGAGATATATTCACCGAGAGCGTACCCTAGGTAAATATGGTTTATTATCATTATCATTATTGGATAAATTTAGGTTTACATTATTATTATTATCAATATCATCATCATCGTTAGTATTATTATTATCATTGTCATTACCGTTCTCCTTATCGTTATTGTAAAAGTTTTTTTCAAATAGCCTTTCGATAAAGTATTAATTTGTTTGTAGTCATGCTTGAAACTTCCAGAATTTTCGAGTCACAACAAACATTTCATTGCACAAGGCAGTCATGATGACACTATGTCAGAGAACTATTTGGAAGCTTGCTTGCCTTTGAAGAGAACAAGCAAGAAGTTGGTATTTCAATTTCCAATCAGAGGATCTTTTACCAATTTATCTACTAGATACAAAGGGCCGGTCATTTACATGGATTTTAAGAAGTGTTAATTCAACAAAACCGCGTTCTAAGACGTATTTATCTTAAGACTGTTTATCCTGATAAGGTTCATAGAAGGATATAGGGTAGACTGGAGAAACACTTGCCTTCTTATATCTTCTTAAAATAATCCTCTTAGGAAGAGACCTGGAAGTCTAATGATTTCCTAAACCGCGGTCTAATTTAGAATAATCAGCTTGAAGAATTAGCAAAGCTAAATTTGCTTGAAAACAAGCAATTAGGTTAGAAATAAGCCCGGCCAAGTATAAAAGACAAGAAAGGGAAGCGCCCATTCGCCGTCTTGAATAAGTTTCTAATATTGCGCGAAGTGGATTGGAACTGATAGTGTGTCCTCGGCGTTTTCGAACAGTCAGTCCCTTTTCGTCTGTTCACACGTTCACGTAAAACAGCGTTTTCAAAAAGTTCCACTCTGGAGAGCGTTCAAATGAAAATGGATACGTGTGGACAGTGCCTCAGTGTCCATTCCTGTATATTAATCAAGCTTTGTTGCTTAATTCCTTTTTCAATATATCAATCTATATCTCTTGCTGCCCTTGAAGTGAAGTGTGCATGATACTTGCATTCTATCTCTATACATTTGCTCATTTCTTTATTTCCGGTTACAGGGTGTCCCAAAAGTTCGTTCCTATACTTTATAAGTCTGTATTTCAGTACGATTGGACTTGATAAGCAAATCATTTGAAGAAAAGTTGTGTCTTTCAAACGAATTCGCTATTTTCATACTGATGGTGCCATATTTTGACTCGAATATTCGATTTGTGTACTTGCGCGCCAAAGGTGCCCGTTCGCCAGTATATTTTCCAGCCACATATTTTTTGCATTTCATAGCCCGAATTGCTCGAACTCCTTCCTTGTTTTTTGTGAATATCAGGAAAGATAAACTCCCTTAACGCAAAAACGTTCAGCTACGTGAGAGCATAAGCATGTATACTTTGATTTACTGGCTTATCTGTTGTAGAAATTGCTTAAAAACTTGGAAAAATCCGAATGTTGGGTGGTCAAACGATCATGGAGAAATGAAGGTTTTTGAAGGCAAGAAACGAAGGGGAAGACCAAAAGTCCTGAAGAAAGCAGCTAAAATAGTTGTAAAGAAGACGAGATACAAAATAGGAGACTCGAAGAGGAAGCTCTCACATAGTTAGCAAGCCAAGTCCAGAAAGGGTCATGAAAATTTGCTTAAAATGTTTAAATTTAATGGCCCCTGAGATGGCAAAAAAAACTCTTCTTGGTCTGCCAAGTAACGCCCAGCTCGTCTCAAATTTGTAAAGAAGTACAAAAACCTTGCTGTGGAAGGGGGCCGGATGATTATCTTTTTTGGATCATGCCCAAAATAAGTTTTTTCCAGCTGTCTAAACTAAACAAATATTGTTTGGGGGTTGAACTGGCTCCTACGCACCAGGTGATAGAAAACCTCAAAATGGATCATCTGTGGGTCTACACGCCGTATCCCACTTCAAGACGCAACGGCTACAGAATGTGATAAAAAACAAAAAAGGCACGGCAGTTACTGAAATTCTGAATACATGTACTCGATAGAGAAATAAACATCTTGTAGAAATTTCATGTAAAAATAAAGTTTTGATCAAAAGTTATAGTGCATGAAATTAGAGGAACGAACTTTTGGGACCGCAACATTTTTCGATTTATTTAACGCCGAGTAGAGGGTTCGATTTATCGGGAGTCGACTGTATATGACAATACAATAGGATTGCGACTTTAACAATCTCCTTGCTTTTGAACACGTAACCCAGTACTCTTTTAACATTTTAGCTAGAAGTCTATAATAGCTCGGAAAAATAAACGAAGGGGTACCACTCCTCCCTTCAAACAATCAAAGCCGCCCCAGCTTTTCAGGGAGTTGATTTGGGTGCTATGTCATCGATCTACTACTCTCTAATTGACAAAGAAATCCGAGCTTACGTGACAAATGATAACTTGTTAAACAAATGCACTCAGTGAAATGAACTTGTGTTTCATAAATTAAAGGGTTGAACGCAAGATTTTTTTCCTCTCTTCAATGTCTTGACAATAACAATTTCATTTTGTTCTTTAACATTATTTTTGGCAGAAAATATGGCTTTAGGCAAACACACTGATCAATCGAGCTACAGCTCTTCTTCTGATGACTCGTACAAAGCAGTAGATGGGAACAGCAACACAAGCTCCCTCGCCGGATTATGTTCTCTCACAAATCTTGAACTAAATCCCTGGTGGAGAGTGGACCTGGGACGAATGGAACCCGTGTCGGAAGTGTACGTAGTCAACAGTGGAGACTGCTGTACAAACAGACTGAATCCATTTGAGATCAGAGTAGGTTGGTCAATATCTATCATCATTTTCATTTCAGACAGTGTTATTAAAAATGGCAAAGATATTACAGATGTCAGTGAACCTCACAGGTTGGTTCTCGGGAGTGCTTGTCCCAGCCTTTATAAGGCTAGAAATCCTGACCCTGCTTTTTTATTTATTTTACAGACATCTGTTGTGACGGACTTAAATTGAAGAGAGCGGCGCATAACATACCGTATTATTTTGAGAAAAGACCTTTTATTTATTCTTATAGGTGCAAATTCCAGTCATGTAGGCACAGCCAATCCCAAATGTGGTGATAGTACTTACAGTGTTCCCACAGGGCAAGGCGTATCATTCTACTGTCGACCCAGTTTGTACGGAAGATATGTCACCATTAGACTTACCAAAAGTTCCCCTGAGAGACTTACTCTTTGTGAAGTTGAGGTTTATTCAGCGCGAAGAGGTACGACAAACCACCGGGCCAGCCGATATTTTGTTAACTTTAAACTTGTTATGGTGGTAACAACAAAGACAAGATTAAAGGCGTTATTCTAAAGCTTTTAGTAGAAGAGGGATACAACCGTGAAGCTCACAAACCATATGTGGACATTTTCTTGAGAATGGAAGTTAAGTCATTTTCACGGAGGCCCACGGCAGACGTCATGGGTATTGACTTGTCAGTCACATAAGTCAACGTAATTAAGAGTTGAAGAGAGGAAAATAACATGGTAACCTTTCCCTTGTGAATTACCATGACGCATGATAACCAGACTGCAAAACACTCGCTTTTTTTCTCTCAAAATCGGTTAAGAGTAGCGTAAGAATAGCTTCAGAGTCTCACGCGAGCCTCACACGTCCGTAGGGCCCAAGTCTCGCTCTCTGTTTTTAGCCTAGCCCCAGACCTTTTGTTTGACTGTTCGCGCGCAAAAAAACGGACTGTCTTCTACATGATAACCTCCTGGCACGGGGTCCTGGAAAGCCGATTAGCGCTAATCGAGTATTAAATCTCGCTAATCGCGGAAAACATTTTGTCTCACGATTAGATTCTGTCCCTGAAAGTATGATCAACCTTAAATTCGGAATATACTAAGTGTTAATTTTAACCCACCTAGCGAGGTCGATTAAGTCACTAATCGGGGGAACACGTTTGTAAAAAAAAAAAAAAAATGGCGGACTTACCTTTGCCACAAATACGTGAAAAAAAGTTCCGACAGCAAGAAATTGATTTCAACCAATTCACTGATGAAGAGCTTTGCAGTGGATACAGGTTTGGCCGAGAGTCAATTCAATATTTGTTAGAAATCCTCAAGAACGACCTCGAGAGACAGACGAGGAGAAAATATAAGCAGTTGACAACGTGGTTATTACTTCATGTAATAAACTTGGTCATTATAAAACATGGACTGCGGATTGAATATAAGATATAAGGACTACGTTATAAAAACTTGGCCAATTATTTCTGGATAGATGAAGAATTTCGGTTTCCTCTTCTTTTCCTTTGGTTTAACAGAGACCACTTCATTTTCCGCCATTTTCCTTTACCTCACCCGTGCCTAAACATTTTTCGCGCCAAATTTTTTAAAAGCAATCATCCCAACAGCTAGTCAAACCGGTTTATTTTAACACTAATCTCGGATTAGTTAATCGTGGGTTTATTTCGCTTTCAGGAACTCCTTTTTAACCCACTATTAGTTATCCGAGGAATACAAAAATTAATCGTGGATTTGACGCTAATCGGATGATAGTTTAATCGGCTTTCCAGGAACTGGGGCCTGTTCTCTAACCTGTTCAATAGGCTATTTCCCAAACTAGGCTACGTGCGAAGTCAGTGATATGAAAAAGATCTTTTATTCTCAATTAAAAACAAAAACACTAATTTCCACAAGAAAGGGTTTGCACTTAGCTCCGTTTTAAGAGTGAGAGTTTTTGAATCTCGGAAATTGCGTATTGTATCTCTTAAACTGATCCACTCACATAATCAATTGACAAAGCACCCATACCTTCAAAAATCACTGGAAAAGAATATGAATACTATGATAACATTAGATATACTTCCCGTTTCTAAGTTAAGAAAAACTCACGTCTAATAATGGATTTATCGACTCGTTTCAGCAAGTCAAATACAGAGAATCGGACTGGCCAGCAGTCACGAATTTCCAAGCGACAGATTTTCAGCCTCATCATCAACAGTTGGTAATGAAGCTTTCAAAGGTCGACTTAACGGAAATGGTGCATGGTCACCTAGCACAGACAGTGCTAAAAATGACTATCTACAAATAGACCTGAAAAACGAGTTCTTTATCAGTGCTGTAGCTACTCAAGGAAATCCAGCTGCCGATCATTGGACAACGAAGTATAAGTTGCACATGTCAGTAAACAATACTCAATGGGACACATATCAAGAGAACGGTGTTGATAAGGTTAGCAATTATTTAACTCAGTTTTCATACTGAATTTCTTTGGCCATGCTTAAAAATCCCTCCTAATTCACTTGGGCCCATTTGCTCGAAGGCCGATTAGCGGTTAACCCCGGGGTTAAATTTAACCCGGGTTTCCATTTTCTTATGTTCAAAAGTATTTTCTCGGACTTTTTTCTCTGTTATCTTTAGAGCTTCCAATCATCAACTTGTAGACAAAAAAAATTAAAACTGAAACGTTTTTTAAGCTTTCAAATCTGAATCCAAATCTCGCACTAACCCTGGGTTATCTTAACCCAGCTTTGAACAACTCGGCCCTGATCTATATCTAGGCGAAAGAATTGAATTCCTCAATCAAGAGATCAGTTCTGACGTCTCACTTACTATAACGTAATCTCTCAAAAGCAAGTATTGACATTGCCTGCGAGCAGACGTCTCCTATTTCCTTTGTTGCACGCGGAAAACAAAGGAAATAGGAGACGTCTGCACGCAGGCAAGTATTGACAGAGAAAAGAAAATTCTTTATGGTACGTAATTATTATATATTTATTCAGATCTCTCCGTTGTCCAATTAAATTCTTAATTTCCTAATCTTTCGTTCAGATCTTTCATGCAAATGGCGGAAGAAGTGATATTGTGAAAAACAATCTCGTCAATATTTCAAGAGCCAAGTTCGTTCGTTTCCAGCCAACGGAATTCTTTACTCGCAAAGCACTGAGAGTGGAACTTTATGGGATTCTAAAACCTTCTGGTAATGTTATTATTTATATCACTGTATATTACCGTCAAACAGACAACCCTGCAAATCTCAAATATTTGAGGCGTCATATTGTGTTAGGACCATATACAGCTATTTCCAAAAATGTTGTCGAAAAAGTGCACGCGACAATCTTACCTTTCGGGATTGTCACGTGCACATTTCTTCCGACAACCTTTCTCGAAACAGCTGCATTTATTATAACGACAGAGAATAGGACATACATGTACGAACACACCACAAAACCACAAACTTATTACGGCCGTTACTTGCGATTAACTTTCCATACGCCTGATTCACTTCCTTGCAACGAAATAACATCAGAAATATCTCTGATGTTCAAGAGTTTTTGAGTAACAGTTTTTAACCTGTTACTCGAAAAATATGAAAAATATGAATAAGATTAATTAATTTTTTATTAATATCGAAAAGCTATTAACATATAAAATGCATGTGTTTGAAGGTTTTCTTCTTTTTCGTCTCCTACTGCTGCTGCGGTTCCTTCTCCTTTTCCTCCTCCCTCTTTCCTCTCTGCCTTCGTTTTCTATTCCGCACCTTTTCCTTCTTCTTTCCCTTGTCTTTTTTCTCACTCTATCTTGTCCTAGCTTCCTCCTCCTCTTCCTTTTTTCTTCTTCTAAGCGAAAAAAGGGGTCAACACTTAATTTTTTCAACAATCAGTCATTCCAGATCCATATAGTTACTGGTTAATATTGCGGATCACACAAAATAGATGTGGTAGGCCGACGAGGAAGAAAGAAAGTAGTTTCTAAGTGTGGTGTTAAGTTGTTTGAATTTTTTTTCATTTTTGTTCGTAGACAATTGTTTGCACAGAACTGATTCAATAAATTTTACTTATAAATTTCAGTTCCATCCCAACCTCCTGCTAACCTTACTGTTGCTGCAAGTACTTCTACTAGTATATCTGCATCTTGGACGCTACCACCAGAGGATCCCATGAATAGACTCATAACAGGGTTTAAAGTCTTCTTTAAAAAGAAGGGTTCTTTGGATGCACCAACAGTAGTCATCATCAACGGTGTTTTGACTTTCAGTAAAAATTTGTCGGGGCTTAATAAATACACGGAATACGAGTTCAGTGTGTTAGCCTTTACTTCTGCAGGTGATGGACCGAAGACCTCTATTAAAGTCCAGAGAACTAAAGAAGATGGTAAGAAAGTAAAATATCATTTATTTTCCCCTTGCTCAAACTGTAGTACGTGGAGCTTAGCAATTAAAAGCGAAATAAAAGACCAATGTAGAACAGCTAGTAGACAGCCAGCCCTCACTTATAAACAAATTTGGACACCAATGCAAGGAACTACATCAATAACTAGTGAAACGCTCAGGGTTCTGGCAAAATAAATAAATGAATAAATAAATTATCAAAAATATATAAATGAAGGAAGCCTTTAGGTATCATCATTCCCCTTCTCGTAGGAAAAACAGTAGCTCTCTGCAGCGTTGACCACGTTGTTTCTAGCCAAACTTTTTCATGTACAAAGTGCTAATAATTCGTTACGACTGAACGTGTGACGGTCTTGTGTCGTGAATGATGATCTCTACTTTCCATCTCAGAAAGGTCTTAAGAGGCCCAAGTTGATGGAAATTGTTGTACTTTCATTAAAACAACTGATATTTCCTCTTTAGATGCTTGTTAACTGTGCCGGAGAGATATCAACCGTTTGCCGTAGAAAAGCCAAAGAATTGACCGTTTACTGTAAAGGCCTTTATCCCGAGATTAAGACCCTAGTAACAATAAATTATATTTTCTGCAGACCACATCTCTTTCATTCTCTATTGTACAATTCAGACCTGCGTGCTTTCAAGAAGGGAGATTCTGAACAGTCTCTAGGTGTATATTTGTATCTGCCTCCATCATTTTGTATGAATTAACAATTCATTCCTAGTAAGGTTTGTAGGAATAGGATACTCTGTTTTGATATTCTTAATTATATGATCACTTTATGCAGTCCCTTCTCAAGCTCCGTCCAGCTTTACAGTAACTGCAAGTACTTCCACCAGTATCGTGGCGTCCTGGCATCTTCCACCAGCAGACTCTAGAAATGGAATCATTACAGGATATAAATTGTTCTATAGACAGAAAGGTTCTACTGACCCACCACTGATGCTGGTGAGCGACAGAGCAGAACTAATCAAAGTTGCTACTAGGCTAAAAAAGAACACAGAATATGAATTTCAAGTGTTAGCCTTTACGTCTGTCGGCGATGGACCGAAGAGTTCTGTTGTGGTTGAGAGAACCAACGAAGATGGTAAGTGGAAACTTATGCCCATTTACACCAACATGTTTAATTGAACGAGCCATCATGGAGAACTGGGACAATGCCTATTACTCAGGATTCAAATGAACTTCAACATGTTCCGTAATTTGCACTAGGTTTGCAAGCAACTTAAGTCATTACGCAGCTTTTATGAAGGAAACAGCCTTTTTAAAACATGTTATAAGATTTGGGGTGAATGGGGCATCGAAGTTGAACATCCCAGCATTTGACTTGTTTCTGAGGGACCACGCCTGGTTTATCTTCCACCTCGAACATCTGCCCCGCATTTACCTTTCCCTCTCCATTATAGCGCATAAATCTTTGACAGTAATTTCTGGGTTAATCCTGCTTCAGTGCAGTAGGAATTGGATAAGTACGGGATACAGTGATTAACCAAATAGCGCCTACGCACCCACGCTTTACTTTTTACGATGTTTTTGATAAACCCCTCCATAACGGACCCAGAGGAATCTATATCTTGAGCGCGTTCTCGGAGAAAACGTCACCGGGTTGGCTTATTTTCCACTGAGTATTTTCTTAATTGTGTATCTCTCATAAAAGCTAAAAGGGGTGGCAGGCCTAACATCTTTACCGGTATGAAATCTTTGAAAACCTTTTACATATTGCTATAGCGAGATGAACTAAAAGACATCCACTTTTTTATACGGGATCGATTACCTCTACCTTCCGATTTTTTTGTCAATGGTAATAATGTTTTATATTTTTGCTCCTTTTAAACAAATTTGAATAACGAACTACCTAAGTATATATCCGAGAAAGTGACCAGGGAAGCAAAAAATTTGTCGGGTAGAAACAAAATATTCGCCAGGTACTGGAGAGGCTAAATGTTCACTGGGTGGACTGACTTGAACCACTGGGTAGGGTTTTACTGCGTAAGTTTATAGAGGGGTGCTAGAATAGAAGACTAGTTCAAATGCCCGCTTTGCCAAATAAGATATAAAAAACGATATAATTCTGCTTCTATAGAAAAATGCTTTATGATAATGCCCATGCGCCCCACTTAAACTTATTGACTGTTCTTTGCTTGTCTTGTAACTCAACAGGTTTATATAAATTCTATATTTGCAGTTCCCTCGCAAGCCCCTACTAGTTTTAATGTATCCGCATGCACCTCTACCAGTATCGATGCCTCTTGGAATCTGCCACCAGCGATCTCAAGAAACGGCATTATCACTGGATTTAAACTTTTCTATAAAAGAAAAGAATTTCACGAACCACCGACCATCATAAAAATTAGCAATGCAGTAATTCACACTAAGACTGTAACAGGTCTTGATAAATACGCAGTGTATGAGTTTCAAGTGTTGGCCTTCAACTCAGCTGGTGACGGTCCTAAAAGCTCTGTCATAGTTCAGAGAACAAGAGAAGATGGTAAGTAGTGAACATAAACAAGGAATTGATTGTTTTCAGTGGCGGATCTAGGGGAGGGGCCCGGGGGCACTCCCACCCCCCCTACTTTTAGAGGCAAACTGAGGCTCGAAGGACCGAAAAATTGGTTTTTGAGACCGGACCGCCCCCTTATCTCAGGGTCTGGATGCCCCCCTCCCCATGCACCTCTATCAGAAGGTCGGGAGCCGCCACTGGTTTTGATCTCTTTTATTAAAAGAAAGCTATCCACCTCCTTCATGAAATCGTAAAGAACGAAATTGAGAACGCCTTGTAACATCAACATTACAAATAAACGTAATAACATGAAAGCTGAGGCTATATCTTTTACTTTTTAAAGATCAGTCTTCAGCAAAAAGATGCGGACTCATTGTCGCCAATATGCAAAGGCGTTCAGTTTAGAGCAATTGTCATGAAAAGGAAGGAAACTAGTTTATACATAATCGCTAACTAGTGTATTTTTATTGCCATTACTTATGTCTGATCGGCAAAAAAGTTTGGCAACGAAAACCCCACCATCCTGGATAGAGAGAGCACTTAAATACCATTTTCGATTTTTGCAATGTCGCTGTCAAAATGGTTTGCAACGAAAACATTACCGAAAAATTAATCGCATAATGACTTAAAAAATGCTCCTTTGAATGTATTTCCTTTCCCTGAAATTGTTCATTACTCAGTGTTATGAATTAATTCAGAAAAGAAAAATATAACATCTATTTAGTATTTGGCCGGCCTCAAACTTGTAAATTGCCTTGACACTTAAGAGGTTCATTCTGATTGTTTCTCCATAATTTAGCTCCTTCCCAAGCTCCTATCAACTTCACTGTGATTGCACAATCATCTTCCAGTATCCTCGCATCCTGGCAATTGCCACCACTAAAATCCAGAAATGGAATCATCACAGGCTTCAAACTGTTTTACAAAAGGCAAGATCAATTCGGCGAGGCCAATATTACGATAAACATAAACAGTGCTACAACTCGCAGGGAAATTATATCAAGACTTGAAAAATATACAGAATATGTGCTTCAAATCCTGGCCTTCACTTCCGCTGGCGACGGACCAAGGAGTTCTAAAAAAGTTACGAGAACTAAGGAAGGTGGTAAGTGTTGATTGTGTTTAGTTGAGTTAATCGGAATACTTCGACTAATTTGTTAGCTGCAAAACAATTCCTTTTGGAAATTATTTGGGGTTTGGATGGAGTTAGAGCTCCCTGATAAAATCTTCTTTAATGTACACGAGCAATTTGTGTATAAGTAAAGGGATTAGTAATGATTTTTTGAACAGAATTTATCCAAAACAGTAATGTCCTCGTGACATAGCTTCTTTAACAATAAATGTTGATGGGATCCATTATTCCACTCCCATTGCCGTCCCATCATCCCATTATCGTAAGGTTGACCAGTTAATACGGCATTTTGTAGATCCACCAATTCTGCGAAAACTTCAAGAGAAGACCATTCTAATGGTTGGTGATTTGGCATTGCTCACTTGTGAGGTCAGCGGAGTTCCAGAGCCCTTAGTTAAATGGAGCAAGGATGGAGACAATGATATAACACGAGCGCGCCTGAAGAATAATGGACGCATTCTTGTTATAGAAAATGTGATTCCTGGTGATAGGGGTGTATATGAGTGCAAAGCATCTAACAAGTTTGGAGAAAACCGAACGGCTACTACTGTTCTAGTTGCTGGTAAGTTTTTCAAAATGTACTGCTGATGACACTTATTTTTAGCAACCAAAAACACAAAGCCTACTCTTCTCGTATAACAAAACTACTGGTAATAAGAGTTAGGGGGTATGGACCAGATCGATCAATAGTCCAGTTTCGAATTAAAAATTACCGCTGAATATAAACATTAACGACAAATTCATACAAGGTTAGCCTCTACGTAAAGTAAAATATTGAAGTATATTGAGAAATTCTAGCAAGTAAGTGTTTGAAATTTGAATATACACAGTAGACAGAGTAATAAACAGGTGTTTTTCTCGTTGGAATTTGTGAATATATTACTTCAGATTGAGGCTATAAGGCCAGCAGTCATAGCGAACTCGAAAATGGACTATTAAAGGTCTAAACTCTCTTTCTCCCACGCTGTGCCTTCCGTAGGTTTCACATGATTGAAGGTTAAAAGGTTTGTGTTCAGACTGGGAGTGATATAAGGTCCAAGCGCGTGTGATTAGATTGTATTCATTCCTAGCGAAAGTCCAAACCCTAAACCAATACTGGTTCCTCTGGTCGAGCGCAATAAAAACTTTATAAAGAAGCAAGGGCGACGCAGCTTGACCCTCCCATCAATGGGACGCAAATTCAAATCCCAGGGGCCAAGCCATATGTTGGTTGGACGTTTCGTTTACCTTTTATCTTGTCTTGAGAGGTTTTGTCCGGGTACTCTGACGGTTTCCCCGCCCATTCCATTTCAGGTTCCAATAAGATCGGATTGTGGCGCATAAAGGACCACTTCATTCCCCCATCTTATTTAGTTATTTACTTAGTTAGTTAGTTGGTTGCAAGATATTCAGAGCATCCGCGAAATTACGTACTAAACAATCCTAACGAGACGGTTTAGAACCTGATAGTTGTAGATTTTTTTCATTGAGTCCTTTCAACTTTCGGATTGTCTTCCATGCCAACCGAGGCGAGTTTTTCAGTTTCAGTATTTGTTGTTGTTGTTTTTGTTGTCATTACTTTTGCATTTGCCGACCTCGTCTTTGCCTTTATCTTTGATGAAGTGATGCTATGCAATTCAAGGCATACTTTTCACTTAAGGTAAAATAAACAAACAGAAGAAGGAGTGTTGCACGGATATTCAAAGAGGGCAAAGTAATATATCAAACACTAGAAAGAGTGTTTGTATTGTTTAATCATATATCCGAACACCAGGAGGTATTTTATTACCAACGATGGGAGGGAGTGTGGTTCATCTGATATCGACAAATACCGATCGCAAACATTTAATGAGGTGATCTATTAATACAAGAAAGGGTTTTCATCCAGGACCCCAAAATTAATAAGTTATAAGTAATATATCAAACATGAGATGCAGTGTTTCATCACCAGATGAAACACCGAGAAGAGAGTTGAAAATACGACGCGCAGCGGAGTATTTTTGACGAACTTCGCGGTGTTTCATCTGGTGATGAAACACTGTGTCGAATGTTTGATATTTCTTCTCAAACAAAATCATTTTTGAAGGAGAAATTAAGGATGCAAATACTAAGCAGTGTTTCATCCGATTTCCAAACACTCATTAAACATTAATTTCCTTTGTATTTTCTTAATGAATTATTAATGAGTTTGAGAACATACCATCAAACACGAGTTGGAGTGTTTTCTATGATATTCTCAAACACATGACAGAAAAACATAGGAAATCCTACTACGATGATGCATCTCCCAACCAACTTCCAGGATTTCCGAGGATCGCATTTAATCTTTGCGATAATGGTTTCTTTGTTAACTCTTTAACCCCTGAAAGTGATCAAAGTACAGATTCTCCATAAAATATTACTGCGATATTCTCAATAAGATATTACTTTGTCAATATCATGACAAATTTCCGAAGAAAATTGTTAGAGAATAGGTATGCCTGATATTAGTTTAATTATAAAGATTTTAAACGGTTATGCATGTTGGTGATCGATTACTACACATTTTTTATTATTTTATTATAATTAGTTCCACCTAGAGTAAAGAAAGACGCTTCATCTTCGTCAGTGATATGTAAAAGACAGACCTTGTGCTTACTCTCATGTACTGCAACCAGCGATTTTCCTGTTACTTATTCTTGGACAAAGAATGGTCAGATTCTCCGAAATAATGGTAACACAACCGTATCTCTCAAACCTCGTGATACAAAGGATTATGGGGTGTATGTTTGTAATGTTACAAACAAATATGGCTCAGCAGTTTATAACATAACAGTGTCCGAGTTTCAAAAGACATCAGTGACTGCTCGAAGAACAAAGACAGATAGCAGTGAGTATTTTAACTAGTGGTAACATTATGGCAGATTACCATTTTTTTTCAGGAAGCGTGCTGTACACAATGCCTTCTAAGTTTAGGACGTGATTAACTGCTGTTTATGATGAACTTAGGGAGCTAACGTAACGACGATGGCGACGGAAACGAGAACGGCAAGAAAAAAACCAATCTGTTTAGATAAACAAAACAACAACTTTGCACGTGCATCACATTTTTTTGAAAATTTCTTTGCCGTTATACGACGTGAAACTTCTGAATTTCACGTTTTATGGAGAACGTGAACACTAGAAGTCAACTCCAGGAAAAATCGCCAACATTTGATAATAGTGTGAGTTTCAGACATTTACTTCCAGTCGCTTACTCCCTCAGTGCTGTGGGAGTAAGCGACTGGAAGTAATGTCTGAAATTCAGGCTAACAAATTAAAAGAGAGATTAAGTTTGAAACAGCGCGAATTCACTTTTCTGGTGACGTCTTCGCCGCCGTTGTCGTCGTCTCTGCTTAAGCTCCCTAATAACATGATACAAGAACTCATTCTAGCCGTTAAACTATCAAAGGAGTGTGAAGATCTTTGTTGTATTGCATTGCATTTCACCCCATTATGTTGAATAATTGCTCTTGATCTCAATTATTAGTCATGACTTTTCTAAACTCTAGGTCATACAAAAAAAGTCATAGAATTTCAAGGAGGCGGCAAAAACAAAATTGTGGATCTTATATGGCCGTTGGTTTTACAATCGTATTATTTTGGGGTCCAGATTGGTCGCCTCTGGGCGTTTAATTCCAGTTTTTCAAAGGCAGTCTCATCTTCTAACATAGGAGACCCTCGGAAGCTCCAAGGAATAACTTGAAGTATTAAAGTATTGTGGAATATAGTACTGCTAGCGCTTGTTTACTGAAAATTAAGAAGACCCATGCCAATCGTGGAAGAATTATGCATTTTCTGTTTTATACATTTTTGTACTGAAAGGTAAAGAAAGCTCGCACTTTAGCTAAAATATGGCTTGACATCACTCCGCATTTAGAATTGCATAACCTGCACGTCACGGCATTTTGCCAAAATCTGTGTAAGAAATGGAAAAATAGCTGTCAAAAATCGCTTAAAAAAAACAAATGGAGAAAAACAAAATTTGACTTCATATAATAATAATAATAATAATAATAATAATATTAATATTAATATTAATAATAATAATTGATATCCCTCTCGCAGCCTAAAGGCTGAATTACAAGGAAGGTCAGTGACACTAACAGGAGACAATACAATACAAACACAATCAAATAGATAATTATGTAAATATGATTAAAAGCACTACATTTGATTAAAAGCACTACATATGACCCACTTTCCTCTGCTCTCAAAGGGTTATGAAAAAAAATTGGATCACTACAGCACGCAGTTATTGTATTATGCTATAATCATAAAACAAAACTGAATGCAGGGCTGGCACTACCGCAAAGGGCTGATTTTGATAGGACAAAATTTCGGCTAACAAAATAAGCCTTCCTCAGGGCCAGAGCCATACGGTTACCGAGAGAAAATAGCTGTTAACGTTTCCTAAAATTTTTAATTTAAAACTCTCATAAGTGGTTAATAATTAACTACAATTATTAATACTAGATAGAACAATATACAGGTAAGTGACTGTACAATAAAAATAGAAATAGATACAGTTCGATGTTCATTCCGTCTGGTGACAGGGTTTTGCCTCTATCTATGAGATGCGCTTTTCTTGCGTTACGGCGTGACAATAATCATAACTGCATTAACAACTTACAAAGGCAGTGACCGTTGATAACTCGCTGATTTTCAAAGTAATGAGTCACTTTTCTTTGCGAACCATTGTTTCCCAAGTGAAGATACAACAATGAACTTCGTTTCAAGTTATAAACTCTATGTCTTTGCTTTACTTTCCAGGTAATAAAGACAATGCCTTCCGTGTCACTGTGCCAGTTTTGTCCTGCGTTGTTGTCCTGCTGTTGATAGTAACTGTGGTATTACTATGGCGACTAAGACATCGGCCATTGCACGATTCAATACTTGGGCAGCACATGTCAAAGCCAGTTCCATATATGGAACTAGACGAACTCCCCTGCCAAACTTGATTGTAAAAGAAATTACTGTGCTTTTGAAAAACACGCGAACTCTGATCGATTTTCGCTGCCGTCAATCATAATTACGATCACAAGCAAAGAACCCTGAAACAAAGAAACACACAAAACGGATCGAAATACACCTATCACAAATCACAAACCATGCCGTTTTAAATCCGTTGAAGTAAACTTCTGTTTCCTATTAAGGAGGTCGCTAAGATGATTGAAGGCAGCGGAAAACGCAAACGTCAGTTGGCTTTTGAACTTTAGAATTCGCGTGTTTTTGAAAAGCGCAGTAAAAGAACATCTTAAAAAGCAGTGAGCCGACTTCACTCCCTTGTGGAACACCTCCTTTGCTCAATAACAATAATGATGTATTCCTAATTTTGGGTAATGTTTAGAACAAGTCAGTATATGCACTATAGATCGTTTTTACATGACATCACGGCAGCCATATTGGTATATATAACCTACAAACGTGTACAAAAAAATCACGTGGGAATTAAACTCTTTTCTCATGTGAGAACTTTCTTTTGCACCAAGAAATTTGCACTTTATTACTTTCTTTTGTCTATTCGAAGAAATGGGCGTCTCATTAGTGAGAAGCTAAGTCGATCTAGACTATCTGAGTGAGATTCAGCCAATACCAAAGAACGAAGTTGGTGATGAAAGTTTTTATTTGAATATTGGTTCATATTTGTTGGGAATTAATATGACATGCATTGCCAAAGTACGGTTAAATCTCCACTCTGTAAGCTAGAAGGAAGAAGAACTCAACCGACCAGTGCCGATTCTTAAACTAACCTTGTGTACCAGTTTGGCAAATTTTAGGGCCTTGAAGTTGAAGTTGTTAACTTGGGATTCGGAAAATTTCAAGTCTACGTTTTACGGTAATTGTGCCTACAAACATGACACTTGATTCACTGATGTACGCGACGTCGTTCCCAGGGATCTCTCCTACTCCTCGCTCCGTAGTGGCAAATAAAGAAGAACTCTGGAAACGAACTTGTGCTGTACGCACTTCGTCGCAATTGTGTAATTCGCCAGCGATACAATAAAGTAAAGAAGGATTGCGAAGTAATTGTGGTGATATAGAAAGTAGACAATTCGTGGCTGGGCAATGAGGAGCAAACAAAAGAAAGAACGGTAGAAAATTGGTTAGGGCAGATCGTCGTCATCAACAACAACAAAATGGACCGACTTTTTCATTCTTTAAATTTTTATTATATCTTCGTGCCCGAAAAGCTACTGGGACTTTTGAAGGAGCAGACCCCAGGTTTCTAAAGACTATCTGAAAGAAAGGAAAATTGCTGCACAAATGGCACTAACTCGAAGATTTTGAATAGAAGAATAGGTAGAATTATGTCCTCAGTTTAGGCATGTGATATAACACTAGGGGAGAACAACGGCTGCGAATAAAGGATTGATTTATTCATTGTCCAAACAATGAGAGAAAGAGAACAATTTTAAACTGGGACATAAATAATTATTTTAATTCACTTTCTGATATTTGTACAGCGTTTTTTAATCGTTCAATAAATTTAAGTGTCCTGAACACTAAATACCAAGTCAATAAATTCAATAAATTCTTTTCAACTCAATTTTCAAAATTTCAAATTTACATTCCAATTCGAAAGTGAACTTAGTCAATTAATCCCATACATTTCACATCTCACATGCCTCACGTGTCATAAAGAACTTTCAAACATCTCGTACCAAAACGGATAATCAAAATTTCAACATCTTGCAGGTTTAATCCAAAGAGTAACAGAGGTGTGAGTATAATACCACCTCCACTGAAGGTTCAAATTAGTCTTAAACGCGTAACACAAACACAACAGAGAGGAGAAGTGTTGCATTACGTTACCTTAGTAGCAAAATTTCTGGAACTCAACAATTTCATGGCAGAGACGACCATTTGTAATGTCGAACGATAGAAGAAACGTGTGGGGTACCGTTTGGTTCCCGAGAGCAATCATGCACAGGCAAGTCACATCTGCCCATTTTTTCGTTGTTTGCTTTTTTATTGCCACATTTGCAGGATCACGGTTTGCAATCTCGTTTGTAGGATTCTCTCCTGACCGTCCCTGGGGAGCGAAAGAGACGGGTAGGAAAAAACCCTGAGGACGAGGTTGCACGGTTTGTCAATGAGATCCAGAAATTCAGCTACCATGGTAACATGACGTGACGACTTTTACTGGCTCTCTATGTTCTAACCATGGATGGCATCACGTAAAAAGCATATTAATCTAACCACGACATTCTTAAACTTCAAACAGAAAGTAACCACAATTTATAATTACCCATGGTGTAAAGTCAAAGATTACCTTACTTTCGTGTAGATTTAAGTTCCGTGGAAAATGGGTTGTGTTGTGATAGATATCTAACAATCTAAAGTAGACTGTTTCCTCTGAGTTACCATTCGGCGATATGTTATTCAGTGAAATTTATACTCACATATATTCACAAAAGATCATTTGGTGATTTTGGCGCACATACGATGTACACAATTCCATCAATCATCTAGTCTGTAACTGCACACACTGTCTTTAGAGGGCACAACTCTTCAAGACAGACACGTCACAGTTTACAGTTAAATTTTCCCTTAAGGAAATCACATTTGTATTGTTAACTGAAAATTCAGTATACTATAAGTAATAGTAGTGTAATAAATTAAATAATTGTTAATAGTAACATTCTACTAGTATTCTACACCAAATCACACATTCTAGTAGGCAGACCTACCTCCTGTCTACCAACTCTTAGACAGCCAATAAATAATCCAACGACAACTACCACTAAGAATACTTACATTTCACAAATACCAGCAGATTGTTACTAAAAAATTTATAATAACTGTTGGTGTCAGTTATAATTTGGTTGCAATTTTTGCAATTTATTTAATTTGTAATAACTTATCATCATTTATAGTGCAGCTTTTATACAGTCGAACCTCTCTGAAGTAGCACCTCTCCAGACCTGGCGATGGACAGACCATACATTGATATTCGCCCTTATTTTAAGCTGTCTTTGACGGCCACCCTACCATAACACAACGGTCACAAAGTTACGTCTCAACAGCCAAAAAAGAGCGAACGATGAACAAACGCATGCACTTACTATAAAAAATATTTCCTTCTAGCAGTTTATTTTTCTTTTATGGACATAATGGTTGTGTTACGTATTCATAAACTTTGATCAGTAAGTTAAACACTTTTACCCCTAGACCAAGTTATGGCGAGATGACTTAATATTCTAACTTTTCAATCTGTGGACGAAATCCTATGATGCTACCATTCAAATGAAACTTCTTTAGCAACACTTTTGCGTAGCACATATTCTTACTTTAGAATTTTGCGAAAAAGGAATTTTAATTTTCAGGTGGAATTTTGGCCACCTATCCACCATTTCACCAATCACAACCCTACCTTAGCAATAACGGCCACCCACTTACAACGGTCACTTACATTCGTCTCCAAGATGGTCGTTGTCAAGAGGTTCGACTGTATATCTTGTTTTTGCTAAATTTGTTAAAGTTCGATAATTATTTTGTTTCTTTTGATACCGGTAGAAGTTGGCATTTTCCCCTTTCGCATTTCGCAGAACACACCTTTTCTGCTCGCCAAAATTTTATATAACTATTGTTTCCTACTTCTCCTGGCCATTACGTTCCAAAAGAAATTGAAGACAATGCTAGTGCAAATTTTTGGCGGGCAAGCAAGTTGTGGTATGGGCACTGCGAAAGCGGCAAATAAATGATACAACCAGCAAGTTTTTTTATGTTTTAGCGTGATAAGTGGCACAGATACTTGTACCCCTATTAAGACTCTTTGCTCTTGCTTCCCCTTCTTCTAAAAATTCTGAATGGCGATTTTCGATTCTTGACCTTGTTTTCTTCTTTGATGTGTGCCTCAGGTGAATGTACATTGTTCATTTCACATTCTTTGTTTGACACTGTTCGTCTTGTTAGTAACTCTGAATTACGTTCATTGAATACGGGTGTTGACTCACACCTGGGTCTATTCGTTTCTTCATGACACTTCAGTGTTGGACTTCCAAGAGCACTAGAATATGGCAACGGGGTACTTTTCAACATACTTGGCGATGGCGGTTGCATGGGGCTTACAGAATTTTGAGAAACGGCATTTCGTGAGTTACTATTCTGAGGAGAATACCTTCCATCTACAAAGACTTCTTCTAAGCTCAAGTTGGGTGCCACGTCTTGTTCAGAACTTTTCTTACGAAGAAGCCCGCTTGAAGATGCAGTGCTTGAACTTGGGTTGGACGAACCAGAACTTCCATGCTCAACCTTCTCACCCGACACAGAAAGATTTTCATCAGAACCTATCACGGTGAAACTTTTCAGTTCAGATGCTGACCTTTGTTTACTACTGTCCTTAACTTTCCTCTGCTTTGAAGGGTGAAATTGAGTCTGTATGCGTAGAGCACGGTGGAAGAAATTTTTCAGTTTACCAGGAGTATTCTTTAGTAAATCATCAGTTGCCGAGTTGAAAAGTTTATAACGGCCTGCAATCCAAGACTGACGTCGTTTTTCAGCCGTTCGAAAGTTTATTGGTGGAGTGGCTTCAGCACTGACAATGATAGCAGGGGGACTTGCGGCTGGCGGGGAATTAGAGTTCATTTCATTGTCAGATTCATCTGGGGGACTTTCAGGTGTCCTATCATTAAATGTTAAAAGTTCATTTTGTTCAGGTGAATGGGAATTGTTTGGCAGTGGTGCTATTGTCTTCATTGCGTCTTCTATTCTCGGCCGAACTTTATATCCCACGAGGGTAAATTCTAGATGTTTTGCAGTTTCAGTAAATGTTGGTCGTGTTGCAGGTTCCATCTAAAAGAGGAGGAAAAAAAACATTAAGGAGAGTAGCTGACAGATGCGTTTTGGAAAATGCTCTAAACGGTTACCTCTTTCCTGTAAACCCATTAAATACGTCATCAAATATATATATATATATATATATAGCAGTCACGGAAGAACCGACCAAGAAACATTCTTTGGTACAATCCACCTTTTAGCAAAAATGTTAAAACGAATGTAGGAAAGTGCTTCCTTTCTCTCATCGATCAACACTTCCCTAAATCACACCCACTTCAAAGAATTTTCAATAGGAACACGCTTAAATTAAGCTACAGTTGTATGCCAAATGTCAAAAACATTATATCCAACCACAACAAAGCTCAAATTAACAAATCTGATCCTATTAGTGACACCACCGATGACAGCAATTGTAACTGCCGGAACTCAAGCACGTGCCCCATGGACGGTAAATGCAACGATCAAAACATGATCTACCAAGCCGAAGTCACGACACCATCTTCAAGAGAGACATACATTGGTCTTTGCGATACAACCTTTAAGCTGAGATACAGAAACCATGTGTGCTCATTTAAGAACGAGCGGTATAAGCATGCAACTGAATTAAGTAAATATATTTGGAGTCTTAAAGATAAGGGTATTCCGTACAACATCAAATGGCGAAAGGTAAAACAGGCCCGATCATATTCTAGTATAAGCAAGAGATGTAACTTGTGTTTATGGGAAAAATATTTTATTATCTGTAAACCCGAAATGTCACTGCTCAGATACTTCAGGCTTTTGACTGAAGAGACTGTGGGAAGTTTCCCTTTTACCTTTATAGGTGAATTTCTGTTTGGGAAGTGATCTTTCTACACGAGTTCCACGGCATAGAGAAAGCAAAAAAGTTTCTTAAACTTTATGCAGGATGCACACTGTGTGCCCTGTAATCGAGATTACTTAACTTCTCCTATTTCTCTGTCCTTTGAAATCCCAATTGACTGAGTAACTTACGTATTTAAAGTAGATCTGAGTACTTTTACGACAATTCCCACCTGGCAGCAGCACAAAGCAGTTTGAAGAAACTCCTTTGGACAGTCACCCGTCATGTGCTGAAACTTCTCTATATCCACACCAAATTTCTGAGCAACAAGAACAAGACCCAATTAATTGAAAGCTTTGAGAGGGCAGAGGTAAAGAGGTAAAAACATTTTGACAGTTTTGAAAACTGGAATGTCTCTACTACCAGCGCCATAATTGCGGTAAATACAAATACCTGTATTTATTCGAATAAGCGCCCAACCTCGAATTAGCGCCCACCTCGAATAAGCGCCCACCCCCTCCTCCTCCCAATCAAACTCAAATAAGCGCTCACCCCCACCCCACCCACTTGACTGAATAACTTCTAATAAGAGACTTCCCCGAGGACGAGTTTTCTTCAGAGTATTTTACAGAAATCTTGCTTCGTTACTTCTTCGCGTTTTGTTATGAGCATTTATTGTTTTGTTGCAAAATAAACATACTTCACTTGCTGAAAATGGTGAACATTTAATAAGCGCCCAGCCTCGAATAAGCGCCCACCTCGAATAAGCGCCCACTCTCAAGGCCCAAATATTTAATAAGCGCCCAGGGCGGTTAATCGAATAAATACGGTAGAAACTAGTTTTACTCTTGAAGCCTGAGGACAGAACGAAACATTAATCCAAGTATTGACAGGCGTCAGTACAGCGTACCCCCAATTGATTATTTGAAAATGGGATACGTATGAATTGTTGCCGTTATCAGCTTCTTTTCTGTATTGAGTACTGGATTCACATGAAAGCAAAGCAGTGCAACTATACACCGATGCAAAGGTAGGAATATCGATATTTCAACAAGATATATACCGTAAAATTCGGAAAATAAGCCCCGGGGCTTATATTTTTCAAAGGCCCTTTTGAAGGGGCTTATTTTTGGAGGGGCCTATATTCGGAGGAGCTTATCTACGGTGGGAAATTTGCGTTTCAAAATCGATTGGGCTAGCCTTATAATGAAGTAAATTAAGCCTTTTTGCTTTGTTTTACTTTGTATTTGAGGGCAACTTTCCAAGTACAAGCCCCCGGAGGCTTATATTTGGAGGGGTTAACGGAGGGTTTTTTCGCGTTACCGGTTTGGGGGGCTTATATTTGGAGGGACTTATACATGGAGGGGCCTATTTTCGGAATTTTTACGGTATCTCGATATTACGTTGTCTTGCGTAAAGACAGTCGACAATCGATAACTCGAACTCTCGCTAACTCGAACCTCGCGCTACCTCGAACCAAAACCGATTTCCCCTGGATTTCCTTCATACATTTACATGTACTGTAATTTTACACACGATAACTAAAACCTGCAGCTAATCAAAGTAATTCTTGTTTCCCCGCAGATCATTTCTGCATAATTTTACCATTAATACATTTACATGTACTGGAGGTAACTCGAACCCTGCAAATTAGCAACATTGCTTGAATAACCGTACCGCTAAAACTCCAACTAATTTTTGCTTCCCTTCAGATCATTTCTATATTAATTTACCCTCCATAACTCGAACCATGTGTTAAACGCGTAGCAAATCGAAAAACAAAAACGTGTACGAGGTCGGAAATATTGAATATATTAAAAAAGAAACATCCGTGTCAACCGTGCATTCTTGTCTTTTTAGCTTTTTTCGGTCCAGTTCAAATACAGTGTCCAGCCCTGATCAAGCTTTGTTGTTTAATTCCTTTATCACAATATCCTTTTATCTCTTGCTGCCCCTGATGTACACTTAACATGGTACTTGCATTGCTTCCCCATCCCAACTCCTTATTTTCGGTCATTGCTTCAGCTCCAGGTAACTCGAAATCCCGATAACAAGAACTTAATTTTATTTCTCTAGAAGGTTCGAGTTATCGGTAGTCGACTGTAGATAATAAATGGTGTCAAAATGTGGCAAGAACAAAAATGGCAAGTGTGTCATGCACTGATGCTGTTACCACATTCTGAAGTCCTCCAAATTAAGCAACCCACAATTGTACGTCCTACACAACCCAGAACTTCCGAGACGGCAAAACGTAACAAGTCGGCAGGCAGCCGTAACCTTTGTTCACAAGACTCCAAAACAAAATTGCGATTTCTGGAAATAGCGAAAATTACGAAAAGTAACAGAGATAAGCCAAATTTTTGCACACTGTGCAATCAACTCATTTAAAAAATCTAGGCGGGTATGCTTAACCTGGCGAGACGTCATGATGAACTTGTACCTGCTCAGATTATTATTATTCTTTTCTTAAAAAATGATGGAAAAGAACATAAAAAATGACTCTAGAAAAGCCAGAACTTCCGATATGGGTAAACGTAACAAGTCTTCAAAGGAGTCTTCAGGTTAAGAAAAGTTTCTTGCATTAGAGCAGTATCATTTGTTCACAAGGCTTAAAAAACAAAATTGTGATTTTTGGAAATAGCGAAAACACTAGGAATTCACTAAATCCTGTGGCTCTTCTAAATTAAGATATGAACGCACCTGTGTACGGGGTAACTCATCTGGATCAGCTGGAACTCGACCAATTATCTCACACAGAATAATCCCATAGGAAAATACATCAGCCTATGCAGGATAAACAATATCCAAGAGGTCTATCGAATAACATTCACACTAATCTGTCCTGAAAAAACTACAGTTGACACCTATTCTAAGTGGCCGCCCTCACAACAGACAAAATCGTCAGTGAGTCAACGTTAACAAAACCTCTCATTAAGTGTCCATTTGTAGACGTACCTCTCAGTGGGTAGCCACCTGAGAAATTGTTACAGTTATGTACAATAAAACTAAGAAACGTGTCCAACGAGAACCAAAAAGGGCATGTAGTGAAGGACTGTGCCCTAGGTTAAGGTTAAGCAGTCAGTCTAAACAATGAGCCAGTCATACAAGTATGTTAACTTTCTCTAAGTTGGACACCTTTGGGACTGCCACAATGTGTCGGCACCTTTAAGAGATCTTCGTTTTATAGAGAGTCAACTCAAAGGAGTACAGAAAGGCAGATATCAGCTCTAGGTACCCTCCTTATAGAGAGTCAACTTTAGGAGCAAAGAGAGACAGGGACGAACTTTAGGTGTCTGTGTTTTAGCAAAATGTCCATCTTATAGACAGTCAACTATAAAAGGGAATGAAGAAATTAGGTCACGGACCAAATCAACAGTGTAAGTGTCCCTTTAAGAAGTATAGGTGTCCCTCTTATAGAAAGTCAACTACAAGGAGTGAAGAAAGGTAGGTACAAACCCTAGGTATCTGCTTTAGCGAGGTTTCTTTGTTTTCAGGGACTGTTTGATCAGAGAGGTGGGTTGACTGCACAAGCTAAAGGTAATTTCTTGGTGCCAAAGATTGTTTGTTTACCAACTACTGTACTGTACAGATCAGAAGTGTAACTCCTGAGCTATCTGTACACTACAATATTGCACCTGTTTTATACTATGGTCTCATACTGGGCGATCACACAGCACTGAAAATCACCCAGTGGCAGTACATGCAACCATTTTTTGTCACAATGGGGAGTAGAAAAAAATTTTGGTCACCAAAATTGCAGCCAATTTTGATAACTAGTATATATTTCAAACTCATTTTTCTCACCATATTCTATTTGATCCAGCGACCATTTGGTAATTTTAGGTTTCAAAAATTCAGCTTTAAAAAAAAGCTTGGAGCACAGTGTGTTGGCTCTATTTGAAGATTGCACTTGCAATCATGCAAGGACAAAAATTATACAACAAAGCAATAATAATATTAAGAAGCATTAAAATCAAACTAGCAATGAGTGTTGAGTAATGGCAAAATGTACATTGTATTATAGTCAACAGAAGTGTCCCTCTATGTGTTGTATGTACAATGTACTTCTTTCACTTTCTGGCTGCCATGATGATCAATAAGCTTTTTGCAGGACACCACAAAGAGCCCTATATCAATTTTATAGTAGAAACATTTACAAACCCACAACAACAACAAAAAACCTACAAAACTTAGAATTTTTTTAAACATAAATCCCTTGTTATATTTCAGATTCTTGAATTCATGGGATTATTTTATCGTTGTTGTTGAATGAATGATACTGTTACTAAAGAAGACAATGGTTGGGTGAGACCCCTGATGATGCTGGACTGAAGATGTTAACAGGATTCTACGATTTAAAGAAGGTGTTCAAACTGCTGTTTGACTAGAGGGGCACTATGAATCATATGGAGTAACAATTTCATTGTTTTCACCTCGTAAAGATAATTCAAGATTATTGGTGGTATTTTAATATTAAAAACACATTCAAGTAATGCCACGCATACACAAATGTATGATGTACTTATAGTTTTGCAACTGTAAGAATGAAGTACTAATAAAAAATTTTTGCAAAGGACTGGCACTCTTGTGCAAAAAAAACCCGACTTTCCCCTGCTTCTTCCCCTCCCCTCCCCTCAATAATTTCCATTTCCCTAGTATTTTCCAAGTGTTTTTTGCGGGCCTTCATTTTTTTCCTTTAACTTTTTAATGATAAAAATGTTTGCAAAGGACTGGCACTCTTGTGAAAAAAAAATTCAGACTTTCCCCTGACTTCTTGCCCCCCCCTCCCCTCAATAATTTCCATTTCCCTAGTATTTTCCGAGTGTTTTTTGCGGGCCTTCATTTTTTCCTTTACTTTTTAATGATTTTCAAAAGATATGCATTTTTCATGAGAACTGGAGAATCAAATTTGAACAACTACAAATCAAACGTATGCATTTGTTTTTTTACTTTACCATATTTTATTTTAACTTTCTTGTACAGATATTCTACATGTAACTGCAAAATTTCTGACTTTTACCAGAGTTTGAAAAAAACGTTTTTTCCTGACTTTTCTGTCACTGTGGCCCCCTGTTGACTTTTAATTTTCCGTCAGAAAGGTTTAAACTGAGAGTCCCAAAACAGTTAACATGTACATGTACAACAAGAATAGCACCAGCCTACCTTCTCATCGTAAGCTTCACCCCGTAAAAGTTCCGGAGCCATGTTGTATGGGGATCCAACAATTGACTGTTCTCTAAAGCACAAGACAAAACTAGAGTTACAACACAATCCAACAAACTGTGTAAAAATTACTGTACATGCAAGACTGTATTCTGTGCTAGCATATCTAAAACACAGTGGGCACCAACAAAAACAGCCAGGACTCTAGCTGACATCATGACAATACAGAGAATAATGGCAAAATTTAACATTATGGAGAGAACAATATTTCTATCTTGGGATTCTTACTAACAAAAATTTGAAAATTTACGTCACTGTTTTCAGCCAATCTAAAACACTATGAACCATCAAAAACAGCCAGGACTCTAGCTGACATTATGACAATGCAGAGAATATTGCCAAGATTCAGCATAACATAGGGAACAATATTTTCTACCCTTAAATTCTTACAAAAGGAAAATTTGAAAGTTTATTTTACTGTTTCTAAGGCAACCACAGGGAACAGGTGATAATACCAATAGAAACTAGACACTCTAGGGGTGAAATTATATATTTGTCTTGAATGCTGATACTATAAAAAGAACTGGTTTACTTTAGCTAACAGAAGTGGTGTGAATTTTAATTATCATTGAGCTAGGAGGTATGCCATATATATCTTCTTCTAATACCGCCCACTCGCCTTGCTAATTTACTTCATTGAAGCAAATTAGCAAGACAACTTTCCAAACTGAGACATCATCCAATACAAAGTGTTAATTAAAAACTGGGTTTTAAATGGGAATAACAAAAACACTTGGCACCTGAGATTTCCGTTAAATGTGACTCAGTTTTTTAGGTTTCAAAAGTTCAGCTTAGGTACAAGGAAAATGTAAAATTCACTTTAAAACCATTATGATAGCGTCAGTCCCCCAAAGTTAACTACTCACAGCTGCAGTTTTTTATTTTTTTGCAAGGATAATTTTGACAGGGAAATCTTGATTTGGAGTTTTAAAACCTTAATTTTCAGATTTGAAAATACAAAATACAAATCTGATTTTATATTTTCATTTTCAATATCATCCAAAACCATTTCAAGGAAGGACTTTAGTGTGGTTTTGTATCTATAATAGAATGTTTCAAAGGAAAACCTGAAGTGGATTTTAAAATCACATCCAGGTTAAAAAAAAAAAAAGGAAAAAAAGAAAAAGAGCTCTTCACAAAGAATTTGTTGCTACTTTCAGTTAAAAAACTCCCTTTAAGTTTAGTTTATTTTTTCAAATTGTTTTGTGAACTCTCTTTGACTTTTAGCCCTAAGATAAAATTTTATCTGGCTGCTCCATACTCACTTGGGCAATTTCCTTAAGGAAACAAACAAGATTAAGTAAAATGCATATATCCACTATGTTTATTTTTACACAAATATCACCAGAAACTTCCATACTTATTATCACACCAAACTTGTACCTCTTGTGAAAATAAACACTTGTTTCTTCCCAAACTCAGCATAAGTATGAATTTATGACACTTAATTAAGAAACTACTCACTTAATTTCCGTTGCTAAACCTAAATCTGCAACAATGCCATACCGCCAACCATTCCGTTCTTTTATCAAGCAATTCTGAAATTTGGAAGAAACACGGATAACAAATAAAGAAAACAAAATTGTCAACAAAACTTTTTTGTAAAAGGCCTTTAAGTTTTAAGGTTACCTTGGATGTTAAATCTCTATGAATAACTCCTTCCTTGTGGAGGTATCTCATTCCTTCAGCAATATCTTTGGCAAGATAGAGTCGCGTCGACCAATCCAAGTGTATTGAATAGTCTAGCAAAAGTTCTTCTAGTTCTCCGCCATTGACATACTGAAAAGAAAATATAATACGCTTTCATCAAGGTCGAAAATTGTCATATAACTACGCGCAATGACATGAAACGTGTCCAATTTGTGCATCACACCATGTTTACCTTGGGGAACAGGGATATTAAAAAAAACTTTTTGTATTAAAACTCAGACAGCTCGAAAATGAAAGCACTATATACCTCTATTAGAAGATGCATTCTACTGTCCGCTAGGCAAACACCAAGAAACCTGAGGAAAAATTTATTTCAGTGTGTGAGTTCATGCAAAATCTCATCGACAAGATTTAGCAATGTAGGTTTACAGCCAAACAACTGAAACGAGCGGAGGAGGAAACGGTTATCAGCAAATTCACCTTACGATATTTGGGTGAGACAGATGGCTCATTAACTTGATTTCCTCTAACATTGTACAGCATTCGAATTCCACATTAGGTTTGTTCATCTTTAAAACCATAATTTCCCCTGTTTTGCGATGCTGAACCTAACAAACGAAAACAAAACAAGCTACGGTGACACTGGGTCTCGTGACGAATTTCAAACCGATCCAAACTACCTGCAAGTTTTAAATATGTGTAGTTCCAAACATATCCTTACCTTAAATATATCTCCATAAAACCCATTAGCAATTTTATTGCTTATAAAATCCTCATAGCGGTAAATAAGCGAATTGGGAATTGTCGATGGTATTAAATTCCCCAACATAAGGCAACGATCTTTCGTTGTTTCCTCGGTTCGCGAGTCCTTGTTACAACGGCCCTTGTCGCCATCCCCTTCAGCTACAATATCCATAAGAACCACCATACGTATTTCCTTAATACAACGGCGATAAAATCCCCTTTTTCCAACCAGAATGTAGTTGAAAACACCACATTTCCTGACCACATCCAACTGGTCCTTTCCTGTACACGACAATTGTGTTACTCTAAAGTTGTGAACGACCTCTGGCCTCATGGGATTCGTCAGAAATACTCGTCTCTGATTGGTTGACCTTCAAACCTTCTGGGAGTCTAGCTGATAGGCGCTGTCAGTCACTGTCAATTTCAATTGTTGTCGGTCAGTAGCTCGAAAAGTCACACCACAACATGGACAGCTTATTTTTAGAGCGTGCTCAATGAACTGAAACTTGTAAACAACAAACGCGTGGGAACTAAGCACTCTATTGTCTTTAGGCCTTCTTTAAAATCGACTTTCAAGAGGATTTGTAACTGATAAAGGAGAAATAGCAAAACCATTTTAAACATTCCACGAAAGAATAACTAAAACATTTTTATTTTTGATCTTATATCTCCAAGAAAATAGTCTCAGAATATTTTTTTTTCCGACGTCACCAATGACGTAAAAGATCTGGGGCAGGTAGGTTAGGAGTATTATTTTAAAATTTTGTGCTATTATCCATCTTCGAAGGAAACATTTTCCAAAAAAATCGAATGAAGATTTGGAAAGAAAAACTCAACGAGGGTTAAATACCTCCAAAAAATGCAAAAAAAGCCGAAAAAGAATCAAACTCTGGTCACGAAGCAATAAACCAAAATGATTTATTCTCAGCCCGCTCAAGGACCCCCTCATTATGGCTCTTGGCCCCCTGCAATATGTCACCAATATTCATCATTCTGTATGCAATGATATCCACCCTGCGTAACACAAACTCAAGCTTTCAGTGTTCCGATGAAATATAAAAAATCTACTTTCTAGGGGTCGACGACTGATATTTACATTTCTGTTCTCCTTCAGTTTATCAGAAATATATGTAAAAACTTTTTCTTTCAAACAGTTTTCTTTCACAATTTTACGGCACAACACAAACTCATACAACCAAGAATACGATATGTCAATTTTCCAAATAACAAGGTTGTAAAAATAGACTCAGGGAATAGTTTCCTTGCGATAAGCAAGTACTTGTATTGCATGTCTGGATTCGTTCTAAGCAGCAGTACTGGTGGAAGCCTTTGGGACATGAAGGGGCTTTCATATTTCAGGTCATTAAATGGAACTGTATGGCCTCCTGACAGGTGTGCCAGCCCACAGAAAACTGCACGGAAAAGATTTGAATCTCTTGTCTTATAGGGAGTGTCCGAAAACAAAAGAAAAAGTTCTCAGTCATGTCTCTTTCCTCAGCCATCCAACCTCAAGTGACGATGGGTATTGACCGTAGATCTGCGAATTTATCTTAAAAGTATCCTTTTAGAGTTTCGATTCTTTAGATTAGCGTCCTTTTTTTGGATCTCCCCTGAGAAATGCAAAATACGTTTTTGGCAGTTCAGAGCCGCACCCTGGCCTAGGGATATTGTGGGATTCCCAGTCCCACTCCTTATCTTTAAGTTAAGTTTACAAGTCGGCACTCGCAGTACGAAGCACGCGTGTGCTCGCTTCTGGAAATTTTCCTTTTTCAGTTCCCGCAAAACTCGCGCACGGCAGCATGAAAAAAAAGGCGAGAAATCTCTTCCCCTCCTTCTCCCCAGTCTCTTGTTTTCTTGGCTCAGTCCCCTTCTTATTTCGCCTCCCTCCCTTTTATCTGGTCAAGCCTGGAAAAAGCTTCAGAGCTTTGAGTACCTGCATGGCAAACGCGATTCCTCGATTCCTCCCTCACGCCTCTATTTATTGCCCGCCATGCGTCTGCTCTCCCACCTCCTCCCCCGTGAGGCACAGGGGCTCCTTCTAGCCAAAATTCACGCCAAAAAAAAAATCACAACGAAATCGGGGCGAGAGCTGAAGATTTATACAAGCAAACGACAGTATGTCCTTATGAACGAGTCTTTCATGTCGTATTTGTTCGTTGTACAAAGGACACTAGAAATGTGGCAGAAAGAAACTATCGGAGCAAGAGCTGAAGATTTATAAGGCCCTGTTAAGGGGACGGGGGGTTCTGTTATCCCTTATCCCTAAACGTTCCACGAATTTTACCCCTAATAGCCAGAGACAGCACAGGGACTTGCCCTCCCCTCGCGCCGCACCATATGTGCCAAAAATTGGTCGGAATGAAGAAGTCATAACTGTTGGAAAAGATGTAATAATTAATACAGCAGAGGCGGGCTGCAAAGGCCAGATTTAATCCGTTTGTGCGTGTAAACCAGCAGCGATTTCATGATGTTCATAACTGACTCTTGCGCAAGGCTAACAAAGACAGAGTCGGTTGAGCCAAGACGATAAGTGCTTTAATACAAAAGCTAGCCTGCATAGCAAGCGTTTCCGCGCGACTTCGTCGAGAAAGTTGGGACGAGAGGAAAAAAAAAAAGGAATCGCTTGCTACGCAGGCTATACAAAAGCCTAGGGAAATCACTGCATAAAGACTACAAAAATAGCAACAAAATTGCCAACAAACTTGCGCCTAAAATCGCCGCTGCTCTCCTCCGCCGAGCAGAGATTCGGCTTTTTCTAGATTTGAATTTGTTCGCAGTCGGGTATTTCACTCGCACCTCTCCCGGGAAATGGGTCTTTTCTGGTTTTTAAACAAAAGGAGTTAGTAGACTTTTTTTAAAGCAGTTATTGAGAAGTACAGCCGAAGCGAATAAAGTTTTAAAGTTGATCTTAGTTCAATATGGGCATGTTCAATGCAGCCGCACTCTCGCTGGTTTTGCGAACGGTAAAGAGGTTTTTATTGACGGCGCAAATATTCCGACCTCATATTATCTGAATCCAGCCTGAGTGCGATCCTATAACCAGTTAAATTTTCTAAACTGATGAACAGGGAGTCGGCTATTCCTAACCCTCGTGATCATTTTAAAAGGTCATTTCCGGGCTTCTCAGCCGAAGAGGCAAAAGTATCGCCCCTTGCTTACATGACTCTAGGAGCTTGAGACTGGCCTAAACTGGCCGGCAACAGATAATCATATTAGTAAACGAACGATAACCGAACATAGTTAGAAAAAAAAGAAGAAGAAGAAGAAGAAGAAAGAAACACTGGAAAAATGAAAAAAAGTGCAAATCGATTATGATTAATATAGAACTAGGACTAGGATTTCCAATAAAACATTTCACCCCAAATTATTTTTTCAATTATCCCGACCTTATCCCTTAAATTATTTGTTCAGTTATCCCTTATCCCTAAAACTCCTAACAGAGCCTCATTTATCAGCCTGTGAACAGGCCTTTGGTTGGTCGAGCGGGGAACTGGGGAGAGGGAAAAGCGAAGATCAACGACTTTTTGCAAAATCGACAATGAGGCTTGCACTCCATGATTTCACTCTGTTTTTAGACGGAGCAAAACACCGCTCATTTCCTGATAATTTTCCCAGGACTTACTCACGCGCGAAATTAATTGACAGATAACTATCTTACCCACCGACAGATGATCGGCAGGATAATTACAAGAGGGCGGAAAAGCGGCCTCCGGATGTTTGTCCACATGCTCTCCCCCCCCCCCCCCTTTCCCTTCCCTTTCCTAGCTGTTTTTTCCCCAAACAGAGAGCCTGACAATATGACAGTATGTCTGTATCACGAATCTTTCCATCGTATTTGTTTTTTGTGCAAAGAACAGAAGAAAAATGTAGCAAATAGACAGCCTGGATAGAAACGTAACATTTTCCATATATTATGAGGTGTCTTGCTCATATAAATAGCAGTACACATCCCCTAGGATTAGAGCCTTAGGGACGGACCATTAGAAAACTTATGGGGGGCGGGCGAAGTACAAAAAAAAATATTCGCGCAATGGAAAAGTAAATGAAAAAAAATTCATGCACGCCAATTAATCCTAAAAAAAATATTCATGCTATGGCCTAAAAAAAATTCATACAAGGAATTTGATAAAAAAAAAATCCTGCTGCTCGAAAATTCCCCTCCCCCCTCCTCCCCCCATAACTTTTCTAATAGTCCCTCCCTTAAACAATAACTAGTTGACAATACTGGTCAAATATAAATTATATTAAGGAAACAGGAGACATTTAAAAGCAGCGCTCCTGCAGGTTGTTTGTCGACAGAGCCTCGTGCTTTAACGTAGTAGTAGAAGAGTACTACTGAAAAGGATTGATTGGTACGTAAAATATTCCTCTCTCATTTTTTATAACTAATTTCTTAAGTTACGATTTTCAGTGATATTTCATAGACATAGAGGAGCAATTCATGCAGCACACCTACGGACCACTTTCTTTGCTGATGCGAAGCACGAAACGAAGCATTACGCAATAGGCATTTAACTTTTGTGAAGAGTATATTTTCATTTGTATGTATGTGGCCAAATGAAAACCCGATCCCTGGACAGGAGCAGTCAGTCGGGTCGGAAGAGAGGGCGCGTAGAAAGTTTTTAAGCTCGCAGTCAGGCAGGCTGGATGAAACCGCGTGACTTGAAAACGTTCGTCGCGCCTATTCTCCCGACCAGACTGGCTGTCCATGTGTCTCCGGGGACGGATGAAACCCCCGGGGGGTACTCCCTTATATAATCTATATAGGTATGTACAGCCCCATCGAGCAGGGTTTTTGCGCCGTTTTGGCCCCAGGTTTTCTTGGGTTGCACGTGACGTCACCAAAAATCAAACTAAGAAACTATCGATTCTTCTGAGTTTCTACTTTCACGAGGTATTACAGTGCCTAAACACCTTTACATAACAATTTTTTGGTTCGAAAGGGTTCTTCGTTTTGTGAGAGAGGACGCTTGAATTTGCAGGCTTTTGCGTGACGCGGCATTTAGCTGGCGGCCGGGAAAGCTCTTATGTGGGTTAAAAACATTACGGATTTTGGGAGATTTTGCAATCTAAACATTCCTTGTCTCAGAATAAATATTACTGTAATCTTTATGAGTTCCTCAAGCGAAGAATTCACGCATTAGTAGGAACACTGGAAAACAGATGTTTCTGATGGTATCCGGCGGCCATATTGGTGTTCGTGAAAGGGACACCAACATGGCGTTTCCATACAAAGCTTTATAAATTTAGGTAAACCGTTTTTCTCAGTATCTCGCATTTGAAATATTTCACAGACCTGATTCTTGGCAAGGGTTTTTGTATATTTATCTTTTTTCATTTCCCAGATTCTAGTCCTTCTGTATTGAATGGTTTGCATTTTTATTTTTCATTGCGTGACAGTGCAAGCCGAGAGTACACTTTGCCCATTTTGGTCTGGAATCGGGTATGGCTTTTGAGGGAACTTCGGAAGTGTATGAACGTATTGCTGGTTTTCAGTGTCGCGCCATTCAAAATAGATCAAAATAAAAATCAAAACCATTGGACAGATAACGTTCAGAATCTGGGAAATGAAAGGAGGTAAATATACAAAGACCGTCGTCAAGATTTGGGTCGAAGGAATCATTCGTATACGAGATATCCGAGGAAATGTTTTACCCAAATTTATAGAGCTTTGTATGGAGACGCCATGCTGGAGCTCATCCGGATGAGCTCCAACATGGCGGACGGAAACCAACAGAAACATCTGTTACCCAGTTTTACTACAAAAGCGTGAATTCACTCCTAGAGGAACTGATAAACATAAAAGTAATGCTTTTTCTAATATTGAACTGTTTAGATAGCAAAAAAAGAAAAAAGTCACTTTGTTAACCTAAATGACAGCCGCTCTCGGCCGTCATGTAAATGCTGCGTTACGCAAAAGCTTAGAAAGTCAAGCGAACTCTATTACAAAACCAATAACCCTTTTGAAGCGAAAATTTGTTTGAAAATTAGTTTAGTAAAATCTCAGTAGGATCGATAGTTTTGTACTTTTGCGTGACGCAGCATTTACATGACGGCCGAGAGCGGCTGTCATTTAGGTTAGCAAAGTGAGAAAGCCGGAAATATGCGAATTCGAAATGGATCTGCGGAAGTTTTTTTGTTTGCGTTCTAATCTAGGTAACGACAACATAATTTCTGCCTAATGGCCAGGTCTGAAAACGGATGTGGAAAATTACATTTTTGGTCTGAAATAGGATCAGGATTTGGAGAACCGGGCCACACACCCCCACCAAGAATTGCCAGGAGTATCCCCCTGGAGATGAAACCAATCTTTCAAGTTTTTTCTTTTTTTGTATTTCGACAGTCTCTAGATGACTTCTGGCCACACAGTCGGGCTCCAGTTAAAAAAATTAGGAAATTTGATTTAAAGGTTTGGTTGGTTAGCCTGTGCATAATCAAGGTGATACGGTCGAACCTCCGCAAGCGGCCACCTTTCCACAATGGCCACTTCTCTACAACGGCAATGGCCACCAAAGCGTGGCCCCAACTGCCAAATAATTTCTGGATAACGGCTAGTTTTTTCAATGAGTGATGAAAAAGTCAAGAAACAATCAGGAAACTTGATCCGTATGGCGCGTTAATGATTAATCGCACAAAACGTATTTTGTTTGTGTTCCATTTATACTGCTGCAGTAAGCATAAATTTTCTACGATACTTGGAGCGAATGTTGCGAGCCTTTTTGTGTATTTTATCTTATATATTATGTGATTGGATTACCAGTATGAGAAACACTAAGCATGAACTTAGCACAATAAACATGTTCTACTCTCCCCAAAAAATTGTCATATTACCCCACCCCACCACCCCCCCTCCCCACCTCCCCTCTGTCCCCGAGGTGGCCGTTGTGGAGAGGTTCAACTGCATGTTACACTTTTTACCGGGCCAACGCAAACTTGTTTAGAAACAAGAGACGCAATTAAATTTTATTGCGCCAGTCCCGCTTAATTTTGTCCAATCAGAAGCCAGAGTCATGCAACTCGCAAAAAAATGATTTCTTTCAACGTGGGTGGTAAAACGCGCAACATCGCTTTTCAAGTGGTTTTATAGCAATGTTGCAAAACAAAATGCACGTTTTGACGTCCGTTTAACCGTACCTGTAGTTATCAAACTTTGTTACTTTTTTAGGATAAGAAAGATGACCCCTAGTATGATAAGTCTTCTTATCGCCATTGCTTGTTTGCCGTGGGTAAAGGGTCAGTATCCTAAAGTTTGTGTGAACCTTGAAAGCCTGAAAAACAAGACGTGCTGCCCGAAACCAAACGGCTACCATGAGCCATGTGGTAGCGATGGAAACCGTGGAGAGTGCCAGGAATTGAGAGTTCGCCGGTGGAACGGTACTTACAGTCATTACCAAGAGTTCCACAAGAAGGACGAGCGCCACAACTGGCCCAATGCACTCTTCAACAGAACTTGCAAGTGCAAGTCAAACTTTGCCGGATATGATTGTAGCAAGTGTGAGTACGGTTACTATGGTTACGACTGCAAACAGAAAAGAACCCTAAAGCGTGGAAATTTTGCGCAATGGACAAAGGAGCAGAAAGACCGCTTCATGAGTTACATCAACAAAACAAGGTATGTATCGATATGTAAAAGAATTTTCCACTACGCAGCACGACATCAATCGAGAAAACATTAGGTTTATTTTGGAGTTTCGGCGGAATAACAACTAATAAGTTATATTACAACCTCTTACACTTTTCACACTTCTGACATTCAAACATGTGCTTCATAAACTATTATTGTTAGAACGAGGCCCAGAAAAAAAAAAACAGTAGGGGGAAAAAGAGGCAAGAAATCTGGGTGGGTCGGAACCATGACTGATCTTAAAAGCCCCTATCTAGCTTACGAAGTCTACGCGGCTCGAACGTATCTGCCCAAGTTTACTAAACTAAAAGTCGCATGTATTCCAACAGAGCATGGTAAACTTCAAATAAATTTTTGAATCAATAAATATTTCAATTAAACTAGAAAAACGCGTCTTGCAGACCCTCGCGAGACATAGAATGCCACTCAATAAATTAAATAAACAAATAAATTAAAACAAATATCGTGAGCTGAGCGAAGTGTTGGTCTAGAATGCTCTCCCACGTGATATTATATTAAGTATCCCTTATGTAGCACTCCGTTCTACTCATGCTGCACTTCAACTGAAACCGCCCCAGTCCCCACTGCTCCCTGGTGCAGAAATATTTCATTTCCGGCTTTACTTCACTTCCGGTATTCACTGAAAAGCCGGAAATTTCATGTTTCTTTTCTAACCCAGTTAAGGATTAGCAAGTTATAGTTAATATCTCTCAATTTGACCTAACATTTCACCCGGAAAATAGTAGGATCAATACCAGCCGCTGTTCGGGAAATGATCATGAGCCCGCGCTTCTCCCGAATGGTCTCTTCTCGGGGAAGAAGATCGGAACAAGATCGGAACAAGATCGGAGCCGAGAGAGCGGTGGAAATAGTGCTTAGCAAAACTTTCGAAGTCTAGATTTCGTGGGTTTGTGATGATTTCTGAATCAGATGAACTGTAGGCGACCAGCGGCTGCTGACGTCGATTCAGTGTGGACATGTGCGGCTTTTTGTCTGTGCAATGTGCATTTTTTGGTAAGAGCTCGCGCGGTCATTGAAAACAACGCAGTGGTGCTAAATTTGACAGGAAAAAGGATCGAACTGTTACCTTGCCAACATCAAAATGTGTAGAAGCCGGGCTTTACTAAGAGGACTGTCGTGACTGTTATTTTTGTTGTGTGAATATGTGCTCTTAATTAAAAGAAAACGTTATCTTTTTCTTTTTTATAATTTTTGTCTTCTGCAGGTATGTCGACAGCGAATACGTTGTTACCACAAGCTCTTACCAACAAATACAAGACCAAATAGCTGGCAGAGGGGACCCCACTGGTTTGTTTAGCAATATCACGACCTTTGAGTTATTTGTATGGATTCACCACTTTACAGTGCTTAAAAACGTTCCTCCTGATAACAACATGGAAGCAGGCAGCGACTTTGCTCATGAAGGACAGGGTTTTCTCACATGGCATCGACTTTTTATCCTGACCGTGGAGAGAGCAATTCAAGAAGTGACTCTTGACTATAACTTCGCCATGCCATACTGGGATTGGACCAGCAATAAAGAAACGTGCGAGATCTGTACCGAAGACTTACTTGGAGTGGCAGGAGAGAATGGTACTGTTAAAGGGAAATACTTGAACGACTGGCACACTATTTGCAATGAAAAAGAAACGCTACAAAAGACACAAATATGCGACCTTAAGCATAAAAAACCCTTTCTGAAGCGTTTGAAAGACAGCGACAGAAAGGTCCATGAGGATTTTCCAACCAAAGATGAGGTGAATTTTGCTCTTCGCTTTGAACAGTTTGATCTTCCTCCCTACAACAGAAATTCAAGCTGCAGTTTTAGAAACCTCCTCGAGGGATTTGTAAACACTTCGACTGGTTATCCGACGCCAAATGTCCACACCCTTCATAATCAGGTACACTATGCAATAGGGGGTACGATGAAAAGCTCGTTTTCATCGGCTAATGATCCCATATTCTTTCTCCACCACTCATTTGTTGATCGGATTTTCGAGAAGTGGCTTCGTAAGTACAACAAAGATGCTTCTATTCTTTCTTCACACGGAGCACCACTTGGCCACAACAGAAGGGACATTATTGTTCCACTGATTCCTGTGTACACGCATGAAGAAGTTTTCAAGAAGTCGTTTGAGCTTGGTTACGACTTCGAGGATGTTGATGGAAAAGGTATGTTCAATAATGATTTCCAGTCGTAAGCTGGTGTGAAATTTGATATTAAGGACATCTGATCATGATGACTACTGGATTGGGCGTAAGACTACTAACTCAAAATTTAGGTGTTGCTTAATCATTCACGTTGCCATGGCAACGACGGAAAACTAAGTTGAACATAATAAATTTCAAGTATTACAAATATATTTTGTACATGCGAAATTTGAGTTTTAATAATACGTGGAATAAGGTACCTGGTAAAACACCTCGATAAGTGGTAACCACTCACAACCTTTCGAACTCTGTTCCTCCACCACTGCAAGCAGATCTTGGAATCTTTTTGCCTGAGAGGCAATCAGTCCATAGGCCTGCGCCAGTATGTATGTTACGAAAGATGTCATTGTCAAAGGTTTTACGGGTTTTTAACGTTTGCTTGACAATTTAAGCTCATCTGGACGCTGTAGGCTCTTATACTGCATTTTGTGCGACGGGAGGAAGAGAAGGCAATTATGCAGCAAATCCTCACATTTACAAATGAATTGTTTTGTTTTGTTTTGTTTTTTTCTAAGGAAATTCGGCTGACGATGAGAAATCTTCGCCGTCCTCTTGGGGTACTTGTCCAGCGGGATCAGCGGTCAGTAGAACAGAACCATCAGCTACCGTGAGAAACAACAACACTTGCAAAATTCTCGTGGGCGTTCTCGCGGCTTTCCTGCTTTTCTGTTAATGACCAATACAACTATCCCTTTTCCCTCCAAAATACCGGAAGTTAATCTTTTTAAGGGAGCTATTG